AACGACGACTGAACTGCTGAATCGCACGGTAACTATACGCTTAACCTTTTGAAGAACTGCCGGACTGTTTTCCGAACTAGTTGTATCACTTTACATCCCCAGCAGCACTATGGGAACTGGTCTAACCTCTCCACATCCTCACCAAGATCTGCTAGTATCTGCTTGTATGATCATATCCCTCCTAGGGGGCGTGAAGTGGTATCTTATTACAGTATTTGACATAAATTTCCCATGAATTATAGTGATGTTAAACATCTTTTCACGTGCTTACTGACCATCTGTATGCCTATTCAAATCCTTTTCCTATTTTAAATTGGGTTATCCCTTTATTATTGAGTTTTAAGAGCTCTTTTTAAGAGCTCTTTTTACTTTGATGGCGTCCTTTTTGCACAGAAGTTTTTAATTTTCAATAAAGTTCAATTTATCTATTTTTTCCTTTGGTTGCTTGTGCTTTTGGTGTTGTATCTAAAAAATCACTGCCTGACCCAAAGTCATAAAGGTTTACTCCTATGTTTTCTTCTAAGAGTTTCACAGTTTTAACTCTTACACTTAAGTCCTATTCATTTTGACAGTTTTTGTGTGTGACGGGAGACAGGGGTTCACTCCCTTCTTTTGCCTGTGGCTGTTTCCCCAGCATCGTCTGTTGAAAAGATGATTCTTTCATCATTGGACTGTCCTGGCATCTCTCTCGAAATAAACTGCCTGCCAATGTGCAGGTTTCTACCTAGGCTTTCAGTGGCCTATATATCAATAATTATGGCAGTACCACACACTGTCTGATTATTATTAAGTGTGGAAATTGAGAAGGTAGTGTTCTTTTTCAAGATTGTTTTGGGTATTCTTGGTATTTTAAATTCCCATACGAATCTTAGGGTAAGCTTGTCAATTCCTGCAAAGAAGACAGCTAAGACTCTGACACGGTGTCGAAGCTGCAGATCAGCTGGGGGAGTCACGCCATCCTAACAATACTAGGTCTTCCGATTCATGACCATGGGAGAGCTTTCCACTTACTATATTTTCTTCAATTTGCTCCGACAATGCTTTTTGGTTTTCAGTTTATAAGTTTTACACTTTTGTGAAATTTATCCCTAAGTATTTAATTTTTTATGCTACTGTGAAATGGAATGTTTTGTTCACTTCCGGGTGGGTTACTTCAAGTATAAAGAAATTCTATTGCTCTTTATATTGATCTTCTGTCCTCAAACTTACTGATGTTTTTTATTACTTCTAATTATTTTTAGTGGATCCCGAGGATTTTCAATATAAAAGGGCATGCCATTTGTGAACAGGGACTGCTTTACCTCCTCCTTTCCAATCTGGGTACCATTTGTTTCATTTTGGGGCCGAATTTCCCTGCCCAGAACCTCTAATGTTTAGCACAAGAGAGATTCTTGTCTGGCTCCTGATCACAAGGGAAAGAATTTATAAGTTGTTGGATTCAGTTGGTTTGCATTTTTCGAGTGTTTTCTTCTCTATTCATAAGAGATATTGGTGAGTATTTTTCTTTTTTGTGATGCATTTGTATGGTTCTGGTATCAGGGTAAACTTGCCTCTTAGAAAGAGCTGGGAAACGTTACCTCAACTTGCATTTTTTTTGGACGCATGTACAAAGAATTGGTATTAATTCTTTGAATGTTTGCTAGAATTCCTGGGGGAAGCCGCCTGGGCCCTTTGTGGGTCATCTCTGATTACTGAGTCAATCTCGAGTCGTTGTACGTCTGTTCAGATTTCCATGACTTCTTGAATCAGTTCCAGTAGTTTATATCTTTCTAGGAATTTGTTGATTTCATCTAAGTTATCTAACTTGGCATTAACTATTCATGATATTCCACTATAATCCTTTTTATTTCTGTAAGGTCAATAGTAATGTTTCTTATTTCATTCCTGATTTTAGTACTTTTGAGTCTTCCTTCTTTCTGTCGGTCTAGCAAAGGGGTTGATAGCACAGGCTCTATTATTAGGTCTCCTGGGTTCAAATCCAGTTCGACCAGTTTAGCACAATAATGAACCATCCCCAGCCTCAGCCTCCATATATGTATAAAGAGGTGCAAGTGGGTGTTAATAACAATATCTATTTGTGCAGAGTTTTTGTGAAATAAAATTAGACGCTTGTCAAGTGCTGTGCAGAGTCTTCAGCAGAGACTAACCGTTAGACACCTGCAGCTACCACCGATGGTTCTGTCTCACGTACGGACGCACTTCTCTGCATCGCTGAGGACTCTTCAATGATTCCACCTTAGTTCCTGAAACACTGATTTCTATAAATCATTTTATTTGCATATGTAGCCTTTTATACAGTTTCCAAGATGCTTAACAGTGTACCTCACTTAAAACTGCCAAATAATTTCACAGAAGTCAGCATCATTTTCCTTTATTATCCTTAATTACCTGAAAGCATTATATCAGGAGGTCCAGATCTATTTTCTGTGGAATTCTGCTAAATATATACACTCAACCACTACGTAGTAGACAGCAGACAAGCAATATGCCCGGCACTTGGAGGTGAAAACAATAAAAAAGGCAGAGATAGTTCTAACCCAAATTACAGTCCACATACATTTTACTAACGTATGTAATTACAATGCAATGTGATGATGCTAAAATGGGAAACACAGCGAAAAGAAATTCTCCCAGATTTTAAGTTAAGAAGGGCATTCTAAAGGATGGGAGTGAAAGATAAGTAGGAGTTAACAGAGAAAGGCAGGGAGGTAGAAGCTGGATTCAAAAGAAATATGTCCGAGGCAGAAGAAACATTCTGTGCGAAGGCCCGAAACGGACAGAGAACGCAGAATCCTGAAGGAGCGGAAAGCGCTCGGCACATGCACCGCGTGCAGTACGAGCGTGGAGTGCTGAAGCATGAAACTGGTCACATGCAGAAAAGAGGCCGGGAAGAACTCTGCCAGGCCGTATTCTACATAATCTAATGAAATGAAACAACGCTTATGAGTGTTTAATACAGTTCCTGGCACAAAGTAAGTGCACACTAAACTCAACATTATTCACCTGCTGTTACCTAACACTCCTCTTTTTTGACACAATTGGAAATGCAACAATGCACTAACCCAAAAATATTTTCCCTCTAGTCTTTCTTAGTTGGATGCCAGAAAAACAGTATGTGGAGAATGTATAAATGTCTCGGTCTGCCCTTTCGTTTGTAAATGGGAATAATACGACCAACCTCTCAGGCTTGCTCTAAGGACTGGAAAGGCCCCAAAGAGCTCTTGGAAGGGTGCCGGGGCACATATTAATGACCTCCAAAGCAGCTCCTACTCAGGCAGAATGGCAGACCGGCCAGAGGAAAAAAAAAGTGGAAAGTTGTGTTTCACCCTGGGGTTATGCAGCAGAAATACCTTAGAAAGAATGTCAACTTAGGCCTAAACTCTCTTTGAAAACAGGCTGAGATGCATACACCAAAAATATTAAAGTTTTACTCAAAGAAACAACACTAGTCTGATAATGTTTATTTTTTTCCTAATGTGTAAGCTCTTTCAAAACATAAAAAGAGATCTTCCACAATACGTATTTTCACAATTATCTTATATTAAAAGATGCCTATGTGTACTTCCCAAGTCCTATCGCCCTAAAACTACTACTCTTGTTTTACAAATTTCTTTCCAGTACTTTAAACACATTTGAAGGTTTTTCTACTCTGTATTATACTGTTCTGATTTAAGACCCAGACCAAATGGATATTGAATAAGTAATGTTTCCAGAGTATCTGCTTTTGCAAAAGCAAAAAAACAAACTCTATGGGTACATTTAAAACAAGACAATTAATAATTCAATTTACACTCAACTTCTGAGTAACACATCTAGGATTTTAAAAGAGGCACCCTATGTAAATTTTATAACATATGATTTCTGTCTGATGCTAATTTGTCTTAGTCTCAACCTAAGACATTTATTCTAGCTACTCTTTTTTTCTCCCTAATGGTCTCATTCAGTAGCAGCTTAATTCTGAGAAAATTTTATTGATATCAATCATAAATAGAAATAAAATATCACAATGTGTTTGTCATAGAAAGCATCAAGCTATACCTCTTTCTGAAAAAGCAAACGAAAAAAAAACCTACCTGAAATGAACTAAAGGATGATCCTAACAGAATCAAACGAATATTTTTTTCACATTACTATACAGCCATTATTAACAGAAAGTCATACATGATCTGAAGGTTAAACTAAATCTCCCAGGGAACAAAATGCCCAGTTTAACAGAAAAAGCTTCTTCTAGAATTTTCAAATAGGAAATACTTCCACATTACTAACACAAACCATAAATCCAAAGAAGATAAGACTATCCTTAAGACTTCCTACAGAGCGTTTGGACAGAGTTACTATTCCAGGAAGAAGAAAAAAAATCTCATCGATCTTACTCAGGGTCGCCAACACTGCTGAGTATCCGGTTTGGGTTCACGTACACGCCCTCTCTCGCCCCTCTCTGCACCTTAGGTTCCCGTCGTGTCTGTCTGTTGATGCTCGGCTTCCAGTTACCAGAGCACACGTGTTCTCCACACTCAGGTAGTTTAACAGTGACCTCTCGAACACATACCTAACTCTCCTAGTTGTCATAATCTATTATGTAAACATGTTGAGGAAGGAGCAAAAAATATACTGGAAGTCACATAAATAAATAAGTGTCCAGAGTAAAAACCAGAACTACTAAAAGAGTTAATCGTATGCTTTAAACCTTGAAATGCAGTAAGGCAAAATTCACTGAGATCTTTAGCATAATCTTAGCTATTTCATGAGTAGCCACATAACAAACATTCACTATGTCTGTCTGTCAATCAGTCTTCAAAGAAAATACTAAATCCAGGCATAAAATGAGCAAATTAATCTCCCATTGCCTTCCATGGCAATTAATTCATCGATTTCAATTGGTCAATTAAATTTCTTATGTAGAAATTGCCCAAATATAGCATTCAGCTCAAAGCTGTTACATGTAAGTATCTTTCCTCATCTTCAAAAACATTTTTTTTGAATCTCTAGTAAAAACCTACCTTTGAGGTTCTTTGAAGTTGATCACCGACATATGTTTTACGAAACTGATCCAAGAACCACAGAATTGCAAGCTCTATTTTCTCATTAGAACTCTGAGGCAATCCGGTATCCATTAAAGATATAAGTTGAAAAACTCTTTTCATGAAGGAAAGAAAAAAAGCTTCAGTGAAAATTGTTAGAAAAACAACATTAAAATATACATTAAAACATTTATTGCCAATGTAATACATAATTACTGTAAAAAGTGGAAACATACAAAAACTTATAAAGAGCCCTGGCTGGTGTGGCTCAGTGGACTGAGTGCCAGCCTGCAAACTGAAGGGTCACCGGTTCGATTCCCAGCTAGGGCACATGCCTGGGTTTTGGGCCAGGTCCCGAATTGGGCAACCGACCTATATTTCTCTTGCACATCACAGTTTCTATCCCTCTCTCTCTCTTCCTTCCCCTCTGTCTAAAAATAAATAAAGACTTAGAACCTATAAAGAAATTATTTTAAAAACCACCTAAAATCCTACCACTAAGAGATACTACAATTTGGCCTAATTCCTTCTAATATTTTTTCCTAAGACATGCATACACATATATACATACAAGCATATAAACCTACACAGATATATGTAGTATTTTACAAAAAATTATATTTAAACACATATAATATACATATATAACATACACAGGTATGAATAAACATGATTATGAATATAATACATAATGTATGTTAATATCTGTATAGATAAAATTTTAGTAAATAAAAGAATGACATTGAATACATAGTTTTGAGTTTTACTTTTTCAATAAACCTTGTATTTTTATTTAGTAATATATTTCGGGGTCCCATGATTCAAAATACAAAAAATATTAAGAGGTAGGCCCATCAAGTTACATCACTTTCTTCATGAATAACAAACATCTTACCTAAAATACATTATAAGATGATTATATTGACATAATCAAATATTTTTAACACAAGTATGCTATTATTATGATCAGAAAATCATAAATAAACTAAAGGTTAAGTTAAATTTCCTAGAGGAAAAAAAACTTAATTCAGTATAATAAAAAGTTTAGCCTAGAATTTTCAAAAAAGAAATCCTTTTATTATCTTCCTATTACCATTAAAATGTTCCAGGGGATGGCAACCAAGTGCCTGGTGCCAACAAAACCCAGCATAGTATAAGAATCATTTTAAGAGACAGAAACAGAGGTCACTGAGGAAGCAGCACCTTTTCCTCCTCTGTCTAACCGCACAAAGGCAGCTCAGCAAGCCCTGGCCCACCTGCGTCCTGCCATGTTTGCACACAAGACATACACACACATCGTTAACCATTCATGTGTCCTTTCGAGGATGTTAAAAAATGTATGTACAGGCAAATATGACTATATACTCTAAATAGATACATACATCAAACTTTGTCTCTAGATCCAGGTGATATTTCAAGTGACTTAATTAAGGCATATCTTGCTATTAAATTATTTATTGAGTAGGACTTCCCTTTTCCTGCTCTAGTTCTTTGTTGATTCTATGTAATTGCTCGTTTACTTTTATTTCCTTTTAATAGCATACGCTCTAAAATCCAAGGAAGACATAAGACCAAAAGACAGTTTGTTGAGGTGTCTTTACAACTCATATTAAGATGCTGATTTGCATTTCCCTAGGCAGCAACCGCATCCCTAGCAGGAAAGTAGAAAAGAGTCCCCAGCAGGGCACACAATCCACTTGCCAAAGAAGCTTTGGTAATTGTACAAGAAGCTCAGCTTCAAGTGCCTGAAATCCAAAATAACCATTGCTTAAACAATGTAGATGTTTATCTCTCAAGCAAAAACCCAAGGCAGTGCCCCAGGACTAGCTGGTGCTCCACAGTGTATCAGGGACTCAGGCTCCTTCCATCCTGTTGTTCATTCACACGGTCACTTCATGGTCTAACACTGCTCCGTCAACTCTACTCATTATGTTCACATATGTTGCACAAACTGCATTCATTTACATCCAAGTGCTGAACATAATCCAAGCGCTTAACTATACCTAGCTGCAAGGGAGTCTAGTAAATCTAGTTTTTATTCAGGTGGCCACAATCAGGTATTCTATTATGTCAGAAGAAGGGAAGAAGAGATATGGCACAACTAGTAATCTCTGCCATGGTGTACTTCAAAGATTTTTGGCCACCTCTAACAAGTGCTTAAGATCAAAACTTGTATTTTATAAATATATAATATTTACTTCCAGATTCAATTTATTGTTCTACATTTATTTTCTCTTTATCTTATGTTATTTTTGGTAAAGAGCACGGAGGGAATAAACAGATAAATATATCACTAAATTATTTTGACCCAAGTAGAAGCACACCATTTCAAATACAACAAAATGAACTTTGGACAATCATTTTATATTCCCCTAGATAGCCAAGTAAAAAATTATTCAGTCAACAAATATTCGAGGGTTTACTATATAACTGGTATGCATTAGAAAGTCAGAATACAACAATGAGCAAGACACATATATTCCCAGTCCTCCAAAAATCTACTGTCTATGCAAGGAACAACAATAACCCATGCAACTAGAATCAAGGTTGACAGTGCTAAAATAAACACGACAAAGAAATGAGCGAGGATTCCTAACATTCTAGAATGGAACACGACAAAGAATGTTGAGGAAGAGGAAAGTATATAGCTCTCTAGGAAGGAAAGAAAAAGCATGGCTCATTTAAGAGCTGAAAGAAAGTTCAACATGGCTATAAAGCAGTCAGTGGCAGCAGAGGAGGCTGATGAGATAGGTAGAAGCCAGCTCACCAAGAGCCCGATAAGCCACGTTGACTTGCATCCCAATGGCCACGGACAGTCTCGCGGAGTTTAAGGAAAGCACTGACATGGTCAGACCTGCACTTCAGGAAGCCAGAGCCGAGGCAAGGTGTCCATTGAAGTCTATAGCACGCATCCTAGTGAAGGATCGCAGGGGCTAAAAAGGCAGGGGAGATGGAGATAACCGGACTGATCGAGGTATCTAAAGGGTAGGACTGGCAGACTTGGATGACTATATGGATGCCAGTGAGAGGGGAAAAATTTAGGGATAGCTCCCAGGTAACTCCCAGGATTCAAGCTTAGGCAAGTGAGTGGGCAGGGGAGGGAGCTGAATCTCAGTCAAGGAACCAGCGGCCCGTGTGGGACCGGACGCGCATATCCAACAGTCCTGTAGGTGTCTGGAAGCCAGAGGACAAGAGTTACTAAAACAACGTAGAATCTCCGAGCAACACTGAGGGCTGAGTTGAGGTAGAAAATGTAGACGTATCTTAACTGACAGTAGTACCTATGTACAGAGGTATCCTACTTCTTTTACCATCACTCAACAAATGAGGGAAAACCCTGGGTCTCAGCAGGGTTAAGGTGTGCCGGGCAGATGAAATAATCAGCAGTGAACAAAGTAGATGAAGCTTCTTCCTTCCCTTATTGCCGTATTGTGAAGTAAACAAATACAGGTCAAGAGGTCACAGTACCATGACGAAGAATAAAGAAAGCAGGGTAAGGACGGAGCTGTGGAGAGGGAGGTCAGCGGTGGCGGACACCCGACAGCAGTGAGGGAGTGCAGGGTGAACACACAGAGAAGGCGCTCCCAGCACAGGGAAGTTCAGGGGCGCTCAAGTGAAAAACACTGGTAACACTCAAAAAAGAGCAAGCAGGCCAGTGTGGCTGCGCTGAATTAGAAGGGACAGGAAATCAGCTCAGGGAAGCAGTGCAGGGTGCTCCGGACCACGACAAGGACTTTGGAATTTGTCCCTTGTGAGACGGGAAGCCACTGGAAGCTGATGAATAAAGAGGACAGTGTCATTATCTGATGGGGCGGAAGTTCAAGTCCTCTACCGATAGAGAGTAGGGTTTGGGACAGAGAGGGACACTCTGAGACAGTCGTCAAGGTCTTCAAAGGAGGAGGAGGGATGACGAAAAACGAGCAGGCGGGGCCCGGGAGACACGGGGCGGGGGGGCGACAGAAGAATGACCCGAGAAAGGCAGCCGCTCTGCGGTGCCGGCAGAGCGAGAGGGCGCAGGACGGGCGAGGCGGAATCCCGGGGAAATCTCTCAGGACGGTTACGCTCGGGTCGTGATGAATGAAACTCAAATGACTATGAAATTATCCTCATTTAATTAGAATTGTGTGGCCCGAGCACAAGTACATTTATTTGTTTTCATTATAATTATCACAATATTGGGAGCTTTCAGGAATATTAACCTGCTCCTGATAAAACAGCACGCAGATTTTTGGCAGGAGCTCCGCAGTCTCCTAAGCGGGCCGCGCTCTCCCGGGATCTGGAAAGGTGTCACGTGTGCGCACACAGAAGCAAACAGCACCGCAGTTCCAGGTACTCAGAACTTCTCCGTGTGAAATGGGTGTTTTAAAACACTGCATGAAACATCGCTCTTACTTAAAAATGTCATTTTAAAACGCATGCCTATGGCTTTTCTGGACAAAGCAGGGAACTGCCAGCGTAAGTCCCACGCTTCTGTTTCCACGCCCGCCTGCCCCGCCCCCACTTCTCGCCCCGCCCCAGCCCCGGCCGCGTGCCGGGCGGCCGAGAAAAGACCCACAGGTTCCCGTGTTTGCAACGAGGCCTCGCCCAGGAGAGAGGACAGGCCTGCCGCGGCTCCAGCCCTTACTCTCAGCTCAGCAGGACCAGAAGAAGTTCTGGCTTCCCCAGCGGCTTCTCAACGAGGCCAGGGAACACAACTAAGAAACACGGAAAAGTGAAACACGCCAGGAGCAGATGTCAACCAGTAAGGAATGGGACACGGAAATAAGCCAACAGATAAACTGCCTTCCCTTAGTTTCCACCCGCCTCCACTACCACCACAGACTGCCTTGGGGCACAGAACGGGGTCCCGAGTGGCCTTTGGGGAAGACGCCCGAAGCCACCAGGTGCGTGACACACCTTCGCCTGCAGCCCACGGCCACTGCTCACGCTGGTTCTGTCGTGTGAAGTCGCCGTGAGCACCGACTCAGCGAGCACTGAACCAATGCTCCCAAAGGACACACGGGGTCCGGTTCCCGAGGAACTGCGGTCACGCCGTGTTCATCAGCCCGTCCACACGTCACCTTGTTCTGCGTGTGTGTTTCTTTAAAGACACCCTATTTAATGTAGACTTGATTCGTTAATACTGATCTCACAGCCAGCAGCACCACCACTTGCCTAAATAAAGTTTAGCTAAATGCATGTGTTTTCTTTCTAAGGCACGTTACAGCCTTTATGTGCAGAGAAACGCTAGCCAGCACTTCGGCACCAGCTGGAAGGGCCATTTTAAACAGCAAAACCACCAACAAAAAAAACACAAAAATGCAAAAATGATGGCACTACACAGAGGGCAGAAAGGGTCAATTTGCAGTGTGAGAGCCAAGAGGAAAAGGCAGCGCGCCTGCTCCAGCTCAGCCAGGAAAGTGTGGACCTAGCAACTCAAATTTGTCACCACCACACACACACGTCCAAGACCAACGGCAACAGCACCTCGAGGACTGATTGGGGTGCAGGAAAATTTTCGCAAGTACCTCAGCTTGCAACAATGAGGTCTGTGAATAATGAGGGTCGACTTTATTTGTTTTCTCTTATTCTCTCGCTTCCTTTATCTTCATTCTTTCTTCCCTAAAAATGCACCCTTCTCCCCACCCCTCAGAAAAGCCATAGTCCATAAACTTCACCAAAGATCTGTTTTCTAAACAATGCAGACTAAAACACAAAACAAATCTTATTTAAAGTTACATATGTGTGCTGGTTAAACAGAAAATAAATTTTTCCACTTGGCAAATAGACACCCTCTTTTGTCTACCCCCTCTTATACATTTCTCAGGACAACAGGCCAATGGGTATTTCCCTACTTGATGACAAGAACTTTTAAGAATTAAACTAGGGCAATAAGTAGGCAAATTGTTCGCTTGGTTTAAAATGAACCAAAGCATTTTAAGAATGCCCGCATTCATATTTTAAAGTAATTTAATATTAACAATACTAACCTTAAGAGAAACTAAAAATATTTATGTTACATTTGGGTTCAAATTTCAATGACAAGGGCTACTTTAAAGGTTGAAATGGGTATGGAGTGAAGGGAAAATATAACTAAAAGAATATTTACCTTAAGGTAGTTTATAATAAGAAAAAACTGAGAAACGACCTAAAATTCCCCCCAATAAGCGCCAGCTTAAATTATGGTTCAGTTTAGAATATTTCATATCTCGGTGAAATGTTCATAACATTATGTTTGACTTTTTTAGAAAAGAAGTGTTTTTCCCTGGCCAGGTGGCTGGGTCAGTGGGAGCGCCGTCCCGTGCACCAAAAGGCTGGGGGCTGGGTCCCGGTTAGGGCGGTCCCCACCTACGGGAGAGGCAGCTGGTCACTATTTCACCGATGTTGAAAAATAAAAAAAGTGTTTTGAGGTTTTGTTTTTTGGGGGTTTTTTTTTAGTAATATAGTACTTACCATTTGCCAGGCATTGCTTTAAGCATTTAAAAATATTAACTCATTTAATCCTAGTAATAGTTCAAATGAATTAGGTATTATTATTAGTATTGCTATTTTAGTTTACAATAGTGTAATATAATTTTTGCTTTAAATAGTTGAAAAATACACATGTGATGTACATATACCCTCAAGCATGAGTCAAAAGACTCAAGGTCTTTACCAAAATGATGGCAGTAGTTATGTCCAACTCAATATATGACTTTTCATTTGGATTTTTAAGGGTTCAACAAAAACACGTATTACTTGGTTAATAAAGACATCATTAAAAATAAAATACATGGGAAACCAACTCACTCATATTATTCATACACAGGAATTCTCCTCAGGTTAGAACAGAAACATGAATTGCTTCATATTAACACTGTATCTGAGGTGCAATCTAGTCCGTAATCCTGAACAAAACCTGTATCAGGTAACTGGCTTTCCATTGCTTTCTGACCACAGGTACGTCACCCCAATTTTGCCACCAGCCCGATACACACCGCTTTGGCATGCTTCATCAGGTCCCAAGAAATAAAAAGCAACCTAAATCTTCGTCACACTATTTAAACACGTTTAACATATATTTGACTATGACTTACCACAGGCTGGACATCTACAAATCACTTAACCCCTAAGGCTTGGTATTCTCGTCAAGAAAAGGGAAAAGAACACCTTCCTCGAAAGGCCAGACACAACATGCTTTATTTAGCTAACAATACCAGTTCAGCCAGGGTTTCTCGACTACTTAGTAAATTTCTGCAAATCGCACGGCCATTACTCACCGACAGGATAATTCTCCATCCATAGCGTCGTGTTCATCTGTGCTGGTGTAGGTTAACCTTCCGCCGACAACGGTCCCCACTAAGTACACCAGCCACGCAAGACGTCCTGATAAATAACAAGAGCAAAAATGTTCATGAAGTACTGTAGAAAGAAAGTGTGATTTTCCAGAATACTTCAAACTTGGTAAAATGATCTATTCCTCCAAATATGTGATAAAAGATTGTGGACTCAGTTCTTCACAGTGTGGAGAGCTGGGTCTCAAGTTCATCGAGGCACTAAGTAGAATAGTGAAAATGACAGATGTCACAGCCAGGTGACACTGTTTGAATCCCAGCTTGACCAATTTGCTATGTGATCTTGCTTAAGTTACTTACCCCTTCACATCTTATACGGTTTTCATCTGCAAAGCAGAGAAAATCATATTTACCCTGAAGACTTATGATTAAAGTTAAACTTGATCACAAAAACGCAAATGGGACGTCCAGACCCAGGGCTGTCAGTCACACTGGGACGATCCAACCACCGGAAGCTTTTCCGCATGGTCAGTGTCATGGCAGTGCTAGTCTGAGCGTTTTTAATATTAGCCCTACTCAGTATGTCACAATTTATTCCCTTTGTGTTTTTATGCGAGATTTTTAAAAATCTAAGATTTTCACTGTGCAATTCACATTGTGTGACAAGCAAATTAACGTCCTGGGCAACAGCAGGACAGGACTGAACAGCTTCACATCGGGGGCATGGTGGTACACGCAATCTTCACGAATCTTACTCCGGGGTGGCTGACACTGACCATTTGGAAATGGAGGTATTTGTATCAAGTGGTTTTTATTTAAGGCATATTATTTTACATCTCTAGATTCAGCAATCTATATAACAGGTTCTCCGAGACTTTTGAGAACTTTATGAATAATTAACAACATGCCAACTATCTTGCTAAAGAGAAATTCCGTGCTCTTCTTGGGGACTAATTTTTCAAAGATGACCAGGCTAATTCACAATACTGAAATCAATGACGTTTCTGTCTTGGGAAACCTTCTCAAGTGAACTACGGTGTTTGGGGTTTTTTACAAGGTGTTGAACAGTAATAACAGAGGGTGTGCGCACTTGTAAGAAGACTTAAGAAGGATAAATAAGTAGGCAGCAGAGAAAGGACACATTCTCCTGATCTTCCTGTGGACACTTAGCAGTCGTCACTGCACGACAGCTAACCGACAGAGGATTCAAACCTCTGGAGACACGAGCACACGGAGGTGACAAACACCCACCAGGTCGGAAACCTGACCCGGCGAGTACCCACACCCCCGAACCTGTCTGTCACGAAACAGCAATGACTGGATCAGAACTGACCAACTACGCAGCCTGTGCGTCAGCAGTGTGAAACGGGTTAAATAAAAGAATAAGATCACTCGTTTGATCAAGCAATTCGGTTTTGTGACTTACTAACGTATAGTTTGTGAAAAAGGCTAGCAGGAAAAAAGCTCGCGCAGGAAACTGAAGGTATTAGGAAGCTACCCTATGCACTTCAGCACTTTGTGATCAACATGAAAGTGTGTTACTTACATACACATTATACTTCTACCTAAACCTCAACAATTTGGACTGGCACTATTCAAATTAATAAATGTTAAAGTTACTCTGGTTACAGAATTACTTCCACAAAGTTTACAGAGTCATATAAATCCATAAATCTAAACTGTATTTAGAAATATGTTCAATAAATACGCAACACGTGAGTTACGTACCTATAAATTTTAAAAACATCTCATCCTATAATAAGACTAAATTTCCATTTTAATTTTCCATTAATGTTCAGGGCACTTGTTTTAGCAGCTGTTCGAGTACAGAACATTTTTTCCTTTAAAAAAATAATTATTGCTGCAATAATCTGTAATTATGGTTTATAACCGCAATAATCCCAAAGAAATCAGTCATTACCATAGATCACCAATAATCGCTAACTACTGTTAATGACCTACTTCCTAGGGATTATTGTTTTCTAAGCCATGACCGTATCATCACAAATATGGAAGAGCAAGACAATATAATACAAATGAGATCGTAATATAATAATAAACTTATTTTGTAACATTAAAAGCCATTAAGCATCTAAATTAAAGCACACATAACGAGAGCATATAATTTTCTTTGTTCAACACTAACTGAAGTGTTGGGTCTGCACAAAGGAAACCGAATACCACCACATACGATGGTACAAACTGGAGCCGCGTTACGTGTTTTTCATGATATGAAACAACCATTTTTTAGTAGACCACAGGTATCTTTACAAGGTGGAAAAATTCCTTCCCCTTGACCTTTTGACTAGAAGGGAACAAATATTTATTTAAAATGTTTTATGTATCAGGCATTATATTAGAGACTTTGAAATGTCATTTTATTAAGACTATATATCTAACTATACAAACACCTTAAATTTATATTAATCAAAAATCAAGTCTCACTTATTTTATTCAATAAACAAGCGAATTATTACCGTTCAATTATTTCCACTCATATTTCATAGAACAGCTACTACCCTTAGGAAATATCATTTTATAGGAACACAGGTCTTTTTTTTTTTTTTTACTGTTGTTCAAGTACAATTGTCTCCATTTTCCCGCCACCACTTTCCCCTGCCCCACCCACTGCCCCCTCCTACCACCCACAATCCTATCCCCCTTTGTCTTTGCCCATAGGTCCTTTGTACATGTCCTTTGTTTCACAACTGAATCTTTTCATTGGGTTGGCCAAAAAGTCTGTTTGTTTTTCCAGCACAATGGCTCTAGTAGCACTTAGTTGTCTGACACTTCATTCAAAACAGTTTTGTTAGATTGTGACAGCTGTCGTATCAGCATGTGTTAAAAAAAACTTACCAAAATTAGTCAATTTTGGGGCAGCCATTTTAATACTGCAGATGGAAGAAAATACACAACATTTTCAGCATAGTATGCTTTCTTTTTTCAAGAAAGGTAAAAATGCAACTGAAATACATAAAAAGATTTATGCAGTGTATTGGAGAAAGTGCTGTGGCTGATAGAACATGTCAAAAGTGATTTGTAACTTTTGTGCTGGAGATTTCTCACTGGACCATGCTCCATGTTTGGGTAGACCAGCTGAAGCTGACAGCGATCAAATTGAGACATTCATTAATTGAGAATAAAAAACGTTATACCACACAGCAGACAGCCAACATACTCAAAATATCCAAATCAAGAAAATTATTGGTGACAATGAAAACCATGTCGTTTATTTTATGGAAAAAACTTGACAGACTTTTTGGCCAACCCAATACATTGTAATTTAATATTTATATATAGGAAAAAAATAAGTAATGTATGTGAAGTATAATACAACAAACACCCATGAACACGCTACACAACTTAAGGACCAAGGCTTTCCCATCACACTCGCTCCTGCCTCCGCGCCCTCCCCGGGCTGGCCTCCTTACCCCAACCCTGGAGGCGACAGTGACCCTGGATTCAGAGCTTACTAAGTTCTTGACGTTTTCCTTTCGTTTTATCATCTGCACATATCACTGCGTGTTCCTACACAACATAGTTTCAGTCTCACTTGTTTGGGGGCTTCATGAACTATTTCAAGCCACACATAGTTTACTGAGAATCGCTTTCTTCCCCCACTGAACACCTTACCTCTGACATCCACCTTTAAGTGCACCTGTATGTAGCTCATCCTTTTTATTGTTACACAGTATTATTAGGTTGGCCAAAAAACATGTATTATCTTCAGAACATATAAGTATGTAGTAAAAGTATGAAGAAAAGGCACTAAATGATAGGCATGAAAATTGAAGACCGCAAGTATCCCCTGCTGGCAGCAGAGGACAGACTCGGGAAGAGGAACAGCGGGACCAGCACGGCTGGCGGCGCCGACCCGCTCTGCCAGCTGCGTGACGGGCTCCGTGACCGCTGGCCACTGCGTCTCAATACATGCACACGCCCTCTGGCATGTCCTTGGTGTTTCATAATTTTCAAAACTTGACTAAGAGAAGAAACCAATCATGAAAAGGCTAAATGCTGCAAAAAAGGTTAGTTCTCCCCAATTTATTTGTAAATACTGAAACCCTAATTCAAGAAAGAACATTTCAAGGAGAGACAGCTAGTAGCTCCAGTCCTCAGTCCCTTGGCAGAACTGTACGGCAGAAGAAAAGGGAAAATACGTAACAAATAAAAGGCATCTTAAGACGACATTACGTAAATGCAGAGGAGAATCCTTTAACTGTGTTTTACAGAGCAGCTGAGGTGAGAAATCACTGAAAGCAAGTCTGACTGTCACCCCTTACCGCTCGCTTTCTGAAACGACACCAAAGGTACAAAGACTTTAAGAAAATTCTTGGATTATAATTAAAAAGCTTCCTCCTAGAAATGTATGGAATCAGTTCCACTCTCATTATTCACGTCATTAAAAAAATCTGAAAAATGTATTTATTTATTCTCATTCCCTGCTAAGATCCTGAAAGGATTTAAAGGGATAGACATAAACAAATCCTCCTCAATAAAGGGCTAAAGAAAAACAGTGAGATTTGTAGGTGTAAAGAACTAAAACATCACAGTAATAAAGTAAAGCCCCGGTGAAGGCTCGCACGCAAATGCAGACCCAGGATGAGGTCTCCCAGGGCTGTTCGCTGGCTGACGCTGGGCTCTGAACGTGCCGTCTGCAACGGAGGAGGACATGCGAGCGATCGGACCAGGTGTAAGGTCGTGAACCCTATTCACTACCAGTCTTCCCCCATACTGATTCCAGAGAGAAATATCTCCTATGAATACTATAAAGGAAAACTGGAAGTTAACCATCAAGCCACCAAAATATCCAAAAGGTAAAAAAAAAATTAATGGCTTCTTAGGGGATTAGGAATTGGGGGGAATACATAAGAGTAATTTGTATCAAATTATTAAAGTGATCCGTGAAACTACTTAAAGTCCCGCATGACACCACGGGGCCGATAGCATGTACTGACCCTCCTGGATCGCCATGTCCACGGTCGCCCCAGAAGCAGAATGCAGGAGCTTCTGGTAGTTCTGCGCGTTCTGGTCGAACAGCCGCACGAGGAGCGCGCACGTCTTCTCGTAGTCGCACCTGCTGACCGTGCACAGCTGCTCCAGCTGCTGGAACACGGTGGCGGTGTCGTCCAGCGGGTCATCTAAATGATCTCTGCGGGTGCAAAAACAAGTTTGCAGACGGCATTAGAGTGTGAGGCACCACAAATAAGTCACCACAAATAAGCTTTACTCATGTTAAATAAAATTCCATAATGGATAAAGGGATAAAGGAAACCAGATTGGAATGGAAAAAACAATGTCTATATTTGACTAGGACATGATTGCATACACTAAAAAAAATAGCCCAGAAAAGCTACTTGCACTAACAGGTGAGCTTACCAAGGTCCTGGCATACAGGGTCAATGTACAGAATTCGAGTGCATTACTACATACTAGCAACGAATAACTAGAAATCGAAACTTAAAAAACAGTACCTTCCAAAGGCACTACTAGAAAATATACAAGACTAATGAAATCTAATTAAACACCTGTAAGAGCTAAAGGCTGAATACTATAAAACACTGACGAAAGAGATCGCAGAAGAGCTAAAGAAATTAAAAGACAAACGTGCTCACTGGCTGAAAGACTCGATATTGGTTAGATATCAATTCTGCCCCCAAATTAATAAATAAATTCAATGCAATCCCTGTCAAAACCCCACCAGGATTTAGCTGTCGATACTGATTAAGATCATTTAAAAATTTACATACATGGAAAAACAAAGGAAAAAAAAAGAATTTCCTTCATTTCATAAAGGCTCCCTCCTTTCCATAAACATTTTAGAGTGATCTAAGACACACAGACAGCAGAGCCCACAAATTACAGGTGTACAGCTTAATGAATTTTTACAAAGTGAACACACCAATGTGACTGGCACTCACAACAAAAACCAGCACATTTCTAGGACCTCACAAACCTCCCTGCTGCCCCCAAAGCCCCCTCTTATTCACCCAAAGGAGGACCCCAGATCCCTTTTGCCTGATTTTGAACTTCATGGAAGTATACAGCCTGTACTCTTTTGGGTCTGTCTTCCTTTGCTTACTATAATGCTTGTGGAATTCACCCATGTTATTGCACATAATTGTAGAAGATTTATTCCCACTAGAGCCAAAATAATTTTGAAAAAGAAAGACTACGGTGGGAGATTCATACTACCTGATTTCAAAGCTTATTATAAGACAACAGTAATCAAGATAGGTTATTAGCAGGAGAAACACAGATTAATGAGAACAGAGTCAAGAAACAGAACCACATGTGTGTGGTCCATTACTTCTCGAAAACAGTGTAAAGGCAATTCAATGGAGAAAGGATAGTTTTTTCTTCTTCTTCTTTTTTTTTTTTTTACAAATGGTGTTGGGATAACTGCTCATCCATGTGTAAAAAAACAACACCAACAAAAAAAATGCCACAAACCTCAAGCCTTACCTCACATCACATACAAAAATTAACTCAAAATGAATCATAGACATCAGTGTTAGTAATGAAAGTATATAACTTCTAGAGGAAAAATACAGAATAAATTGAACTTCGTCAAACTTTATAACACCTTATCTTTGAAAGACTGTTAAGGAAATGAAAAGGCAAGCTATGAACTGGAAGAAAATACTTGAAAAAACACACACGATAAAAAGACTTGTGACCAGAATATACAGACCTCTCAAATCTCAATATAAGAAAATAACCCAGTAAATAATGGGCAGCAGATTGGACAGGCACTTTGCCAAGAATACATACAAATGACAAATAAGCATATAAAATGATGCTTAACATTATTAGTCACTAAGGGAATGCAAATTAAAACCACCATGAGGTACCACTACATACCTATTAGTTTGACTAAATTTTTAAAAACAGACAATATTAAGTGCTGATGAGGATGCAGAGCAACTGGATCTTTCATACATTGCTGGTGGGAATGCAAAATGATACAGCCAATTTGGAAAAGAGCTGGGCAGCTTCTTACAAAGTAAAACATACACTTACCATGCAACCGAGGATTCTCACACTTTACTATCTACCCAAGAGAAACAAAAATTTATGTCTATGCAAAAATCTGTACGGGGACATTTACAGCTGTTTTATTCATAATTGATAAAAATGGAAACAATCCTAATGTCCATTCACAGGTGAATGGATACACAAATTGTGGTATATCCATAGAATGGAATACTATTCAGCAGTGAAAAGGAAATGACTGGCGCGACATGGAGGAATCTTATACGCACTATGCTAAGTGAGAGAAGCCAGACTAAAGGGCTATATGCTATGTAATTTCATTTTTACAACATTCTGGAGAGGGCAAACACTATAGGAAACAAAACAAATCAGTACTTGCCAGAGGCTAATGGTGGGGAAAGGACTAACTATAAAGGGACCCAAAAGAGCTTTTTGGGGATGATGAAGCCATTCTATATCTTAATTTTGATGGGCGTTATACAACTGTATGCACTTGTCACAACTCATAAAACTGTACACTAAAAAGGATGAATTTTACAGTAGGTAAATTACTCCTCAATTTTAAAAAATTCCAAGATGCAAAAGATGAAAATTCAACAGAAAGATTTAGTTTTCAATACCTCACAACTATGGCAACAGATTCCAACCGAGAAGTGATAAAGGCCTTCGTGATTTCTGGTGCATAAGTGTCTAACAAGTGGGGTTCAGTTGATTTCACAAAAGGAACTGAAGCTACCATCCTTTGCCACAGAGTTAATAAATAATGAACACTGTTGGGAGCAAATTCCCAATGCTACAAAGAAATAAAGCAAATGTTATTTAGAATGACATATCTTTCTAGAATAAGAATTACAGAGGAAAAATTACTAAACACAGATTTTAAATTTAACTTTTACTCTGATTATATAACCAATGAACGCTTAGCATAGCAAATTTTGTAAATGCAAAAAATGTATAAAGAAAAAAACCAACAATCTCTCATTATTCTTCCACCCAGAAATTACCACTATTAAAATGTTAGTATACTTCCTTTTAATCTTTTTTCCATGAATAGCTTTCCACAGAGTTGATATCATTTGGAAAATAGAGTTTTTAAACCTTCCCCCAAACTTACAAATTTTCCCCAAAACCAATCGGTAAAAACTTCATTCCCCACATAGATTTTACTGTAGCTTTTCAATTCATTCTTCAACTATTAGATATTTAGATGCCCTCTAAGTTTTTACTATAAAAATGTTATAAGCCTTTTACCCTAAAACCTTGCAATGAACATTTTTAGCAAAGTACTCTAATAGATGTTTTAAAAATCCCTACCAAATCTTACCAAGAATCTACAGTTTAATATCAAGTATATATTTCTATTTACCTGTAGGCTAGTAATGGTAAAATTAGCAATTAATCTGATAACTTCAGGATACTCCTTCACCATAACTAATTCTCCCAGCTGGTAATTTGTCTTCAAACGAGCCAAAAATCGACAAAATTCATGATAATTACCTGGATCAGACAAACCCTAAAATATGAGACAGAAAGAAAGGCTTTTAAAAATACTTAAAAACAAACCAAGCCGAGGACCATCAGTAGCATTCCAAGAGCACGTTATTAAGTCTTCTAGTTTTCATGGGTACTCATGATATTTTATACCAACTAGGTAGATAGTAATGAAAGAAAACAAATCATTTCTGCTGGGTTTAATGTTGTCCTCAATTACTAACAATTGCTAACAATAAGGAATCCAAAGTAGAGGCTTTGCAGGAAACTCTGTACCATGAAAGCTAAATTATAATGCTTAGGAACCCATTACATTACACAGAAGGGGTGTGTGTGTGTGTGTGTGTGTGTGTGTGTGTGTGTCATGGCTTAAACAGAAGTCAACAGAAAACTTGGAAAATATTTAAGATAAAAAAACAAGAATGGGCTCTTGCAACCCTGGAAAAGAGCAACACCACTGAACTCAAGGTAAATAGTGTACATGCACGGCACACACAAGTAATACAAACTGCTTTTAACTCAACAAATTTTTATCGAGAACCTACAGGCACTGTACCCTCAAGCATCTTCCTGTTGCTAAATGAAGAGTCATTTGAATAAATTAATGCAGCGAAGGGCACAAAGTTTAACAAAACTTCTACAAGACGCAGAGATGACTTCTGGGGGAGGACAGGTGAAAGGACAAGACCAAACCAGGTGCCCGCCGTGGTCTGTGAGCTCCTGGAAAGCAGGGCCCACGTGTTCTTATCGCCGCAGTCTGAACACTTTGCACGGGGGCTGGCAGGAAACCGTTCAGAAAGTACTTGTTTAATACTGAAGAGTGTATAGGAAACTTCACTCAAATGAGCTCAAGGAAAGAACAGAAAATAGTGTCTAATTATTAAGAACAGATTACAAAAAGTATTGTGTACTCATAGGTCTTTTAATATGTTTGTAACTCCAAAATAATTGACATAATATTCAAACTAACTTTTGGAGCCAGGAAACATCAACATTTGGATGTTAAGTCAATTAAGAAAGGTATATGATATTATATTACCCTCCACACATTGATTGATGGTAGCAATTAAAACTACAAACATTAAAGCATATTGGTAAAGTTCCATTTACCAGCAAAACACATAAAGTTTACAGTTGTACTAAACGGAAAGTAAAGCAGGATGGGGGGACTGGGTAAAAGAAGGTGAAAGGATTCACCAAAAAACATGTACATGTAACACGCAGACACGGCCAACATCGGGGCAACAGCCGGAGGGAAAGCGGGGGAGGGGAGGGGACAGAGGGGACGAAACAGGGACAGGAAGAGACGCTGCTCTGGGCAGCCGGCGCACGATGTCTCGTGCAGATGAGGATGTTCTGCTGAGTGGTTCACGTGGAACTTGCACGGTTTTATTAACCGATGTCACCCCGGTAAGTTTAACTGGTTTTAAGAGAGGGTAACGCAAATGCACAACATATAAAATACTCCCGAGACTAACCTGCAAAAATGACTGCTCTTTAAAAAAGCATTTTCTTTATGTGCAGATATTGTATGTAGTAACCAAAATTAGTGGTAACCAAGAGATTTATACAAACCTCCGCAAATCATCATGTAACCTTTTAAAAGCTGTAGTTCTGTTACAGATATTTTAAACCAAGCACAAAATAAAAAGTGAAACAAAAAATTTTATCTGGGCATGTGAAATCACTACTTGATAATGGCTTTGCAATGTTTGGAAACGAGTATTGCTATTGAAGTTTTGCAGTCAGTGTAGAAAGATTTTAAAATCTACAAACTCTTATTTGTCCACAAGAGGGCAAAAAGACATTATTTCATCATTTAAAGCCACTTACTCCAATGTTAACATTCAGACTTATATTAAGTCCTCTAGCTCAGAAGGCAGCTATAACTCGGAATCAATCACTTCAGTGATTTATGAAGAGCAAGCAAAGAAGTGTAGTACAATAGTGGAAAGCAGAAGCATGATATGATACGTGACATCCACCCAGCTAACAGAACGGAAAAAACACAAGAGGAAGAACACAGAAGCAGGTCGGAAAGGCGCCCACTCCCACGACGAAGGAGCCGTGAGAAAGATGAGCACACTTCATGCTTTCTCCCAGGATCGTCCTAGAGTCACGACTTTATGATGCACCTCTCAGCAGAAAAACTGTATTTCTATATGATAAGTATTAAATGTCTTCATAAATACCTGAGGGTTTTCAAGTATCCTTTTTACTCCCTTAATTAAATTGCTGAGGTACTTGGCCCGTTCGGGACTGCTAAATAAGGACCTTCTTGTAGAAGCAAACTGGACCAAACATGAAAGTGCCTGGAAAAGGAAACAATGAAAGTCACTTCAACTTTAGAAGTAACTAGGGCCACATGGAAGGAACACCAGTCTTTACATAAAAAATATTTTTCATTTCTGTGATTAAAAAAGCATTATAGAATCCAAAAATAATGAAAGCTAAAAATTTAACGTATCCATCACCACCACCATCTAGAACTCTTCAACCCCATTAACATTTCCATTAGTGTGTCTTTTCTTCTAATATTTCTTCACATATTAAATGTGCCCAGAGCAGTGCCTGGACATTTACACTCAAAAGGCTCGCAAGTGCTTCCAGTGACCAGGTCCGATGACCAGGTCTGTTTGCAAACCCGAGCCACGTGTCCTACCGGAAAGAAAATATGGTTTTCTGGTAGAAGATGGTTGGGAAATACTGCACATTATGCACTGTGGCATTCCGTAAATGGGCAGTGGGGAGACCTCCTGCAACTTTACCTAATCCAGCGTGTCCCAAATTTATTTGATGACAGACCACCTTACCATTCATGAACGTCTTAAGGAACAATTTGGAAAACGCTGCTGGAAGAGACAGATACTCTATGAAAATTCCTACCAAGAATCGACGGTCTAGTTACCTTCTTAACGTTATTACTTTACCAGAAAATGTCACTACCTGGGTTCTTAATTCCACCACTGGTGCCCGTGGAAGTCTGTTGGATTATTAAATGAGAAGCCCCGACTTGGTAACTTTTAGGTTAAACTGGCCCATGTATGTTTTGCTTTGGTTCAGATAACGTTTGCTTGCCCAGTGTTTTAAAATATTAGCATCTGCTGCCAATATTTAAATATTTCAACTTCACACAAAACGCCTGGCTCTCCCTGCAAGGCTGAGAATAAGGCCAAAAATCAGAGGGCAACTTTTCTGATGTCCTCCAGTTTGCCATAGTCCTTAAGGTTAAAAAATAAATAAATAAAACCAAACAAACGAGAAAACCTTAGGCAGCTACGATGTGTAGGAAGTTGGAGAAGCACTCGTCTATTACAGACACCCCGGGTTGGGGGCCCCCAACGCCGGGGCCCGAAGCCCCACTCCGGCATTCCGTTCGCTGCCCTGGACAGAGTCCCCCAGCCAGTCCGGCCCGTTCCCTCGTCTTCCCGGCGCGGCAGTCACACCCCGCAGGGCCGCTTTGAGGGTGAAGGGACATAAGCACCACGTGCTCATAGCGCACGCCCGATAAATGTCCCTTTCTCTGAAAGCAGCTGGGTATATTCCATTTTATGTTTTAAGCACCAGCAGCTTATTTGCTTTATCCCAGAACATAACCGTACAAGAAACCCTGGTTTTTAAACCACTACAAACAAGACTATCCTGGTTAAAAGATGGAAGGTGGAAGTTCTGCGGCCCCAGCCGGAAACCTAAGTGTCCTGTGAAACCCAGCTTCAAAACCACCTTAAAGCCCTGACTTTGAGAGGATACACGTTCTAAAAAAAGGGCCATTTTTGTGAATGAGTCTGTGCTGCCTCTCTGGGCGCTGACGCATCTACACAAGCACGCCATTCACACGCAGTTCACATCTGGAACACCGTTTCCAGGGGTTAGGATTCCCCAGCGCTACCCCTACAAGCCTAGAGATCAAACTGACGACTTTTCCTTCTCTCTCTTTTTTCAGTCTTGCCTGGCTTCTGTTTTAGATTCCACAAAGATGGGGTTCACAGTCTCGAAGCCCTAGATAACCAAAGAGCTCCAAGAATGATTACACCGCACACTGGAGCCGGATTTCAGAAACACTAACAACTGGGGTGATGGGCACCAAGCCACGTGTGCAGATCACTCCCTTGCTCGTTCAGAGAGATCTGTGGGGGCTGCCAGGCACGCCAGAGACGCAGACACAGGCAGGGTTGAGAAAGAGCGAGAGGGGGGGTTGAGGAAGGGGAGGTAGCAGAGGAGGGTGGCCACCCACTGAACGGGGGTCGAGAGGAGGGGTGGGGACTGAGGGGGGAGGGAAGATACACTCAGGGCCTGGGGGCGGGCCTGGCTCTGGGCGGAAGCTAGCTCAGTGGTGGCGGTTCCGGGCTCCCCCAGGAAGTGGGGTGCACCGCTGACTATCGGCAGAATCTGAAGAACAGCCGAAGCAATACGAATCCCAGAAATGTAAGAATTTCCTGAGAGATAAACCCAATCAAGAATATAAACAGAATTTGTACAAGTAAATCTGTTAACAACCTTAGATGAAGATCACAGGCACTTTTTAATGAAATAATGAATGGTTTTTACTTACTAACTGAGACAGTAGCGGTGGAAGCGAATGGTACAAATTGAAGAAAAGATCCAACGTCTCTGGTTCCAGGAAAACTGGAAAAGAAGTTATTTTCTAATACCATTACTTTCAATTCTGTGATCTTAACGAAGTAAGACTTTATCCCGCAAACCAAGCACTCCAAGACCTCTGCATGCGGCCACCCTTTCCAGTTAGACTCAGTTCCCTTTAAGTCCTAGTTGTTTTCTTTTGAAAGATGAAATAGTACCGAGATAGAAATTAATTAGCTAAGATGTTCCTTATTTCTATGTAGCATTACAGTTCTTACTGGGAGAATCATCTTTATATTTTTAATTGCATTAAAGTATAGACATCTAAAAATTCAGCGTCAAAAGGTAACTAAAAAGTGTGTGATAAAAAACAGTGGTAGCCCACCCCAATTCAAAACCTTTCAACTCTTACCTATATTTACATACGTATTTCCAAATGGCATACTATATACTATTTCTTTGTTTGACATTAATTTACCCCACCACTCTCTCCACAATCCATCCTTTTCTAAGAAATCCATCCACTATTATACCAATTTAAGATTAAATCAATCCTAAGTGTTTATATTTCTTATGACTATGTAAATTATGTTAATGAATTGAGGATTGTATCACATTTCTAACGCTCTCTGGACTTAATCGCACCATCTTTTCCGCACTTACGGCGTACGTCGCCCTGTCACCAAGTCTTCACAAATGCTCTCACAGCTTTGCAAAATGTTCATGCCACTTTCCATATGATCAACAACATCCAGTAACTATCATGTTCATTTTCTCACTCCTTCCTCCCAGAGCCTTCACCCTGGACTGGGTATTCCTACATTTGTTACATGATTACCTCCTTTTTATGAATATACATTGTCATCTCGGTTTGAGCTCCCTATCCCAAACCCCGTGTCTTCCACTTTTTCGGGTTGTATAGCAAGCAGCTTCCTCGTAACAAGTACGTACGGGATAAATTTTGGGAGAATTTACACATCTGATAATGTCTTTATTCTATCTTATACTTGACACTTTCAATCTAGGTTGACAATAAGTTTCCCTCAAAAGTCTGGGGATATTACACTGTCTTCTAGCTTCCAGGGTTGCTGTTGAGAAGGTTAATAGCATTCCAGATCCCAATCCTTTGTAGGTGACCTATTTTTTTTCTTTCTCATACGTTTTAGGATCTTCTCTTTATCCTTATTATTCTGAAATGTTTATAAAGCTTGGTGTATTTTTTTTCCATTTATTTTGTTGGGTACTTGATGGGACCTTTCAATCTGAAAATTTGTATCCCAGTGATACGAACATTTCGTTGGTATTATTTGTTTGCAGATTTCCTTCTGTTTTTTTCCTACCCTCTTCCTCAAACTCCTACTAGTCAGGTGCCAAATCTCCTAACTTCATGCTCTAAACATTCTTGTATTTTCATCTCCTATTGAATCTTTCCTTGTTGTTTTGTTCTACATTCTGGGATACTTCCTTAATTTTATCTGCCAACTCTTTCACGAAATGTTTTATTTTGGCAACCATCTTTTATATTTGGAATAGTCTTTGAACGTTCCTCTTAAAAACAGTATCCTATTTTTCTTCCATGATGCATTACCTCTTTATCTCTCTGGAGATAATTATACTTTTTAAACTTTTACTTCTACTCTTCCCTTTGTCTCTGTTTCCACTAACTCTCCCTCATTTAAAAAAAAAACGTTTTGAGATGATTGCAGAGTCTCTTGCAGTATGGAGAAACAGCAGAGAGGCGCTCCGGGCGCCCTGACCCGGTTTCCCCCCAGTGTGAGCTCCTGGGAAACGGCAACACCATACCACAGTCAGGAGAGAACACTGCAACGATCCACTAGTCCGATTCCGATTTCCCAGTTTTACATGTACTTGTGTGTGCGTGGATTTGGTCCGTGCAGTTTTTATTAGAACGTTGGTTCATGTATTCATAACCATAGTCAAGGTGTGAAACCCCTTTTAATGATTTGTTTTAGCCTCTAATTTCCGTATTAATTTTCGCAACATCTAGGGTGTTTCTCCAATACATCTGAGATGCCTGAATGTGAAACCTCTCCGGTTTAGATGCAGACGGAGGAGAAGGCCTGGTCGTGAAAAGCAAGGGGGAAGTGCACAGAGGGGAGAGGGCAGGAAAAGACGGGTCACCTGGCTGCACAGGTGGTACAGAGGGTCCCAGCCCTGTCATTCCCATTGTCTTATCCTTGATCACTTCAGTCTGACCCCAGAACACCCCACTGCCATCAGCTTTCTGGGGTGCAGGCGAGCCCATCAGCTTGCTTTTCTTGGTATCCCTCTTTGCAAGGAAGTAAGTTGCAATTCTGTTTGCTTAGTCAGTTGCTCTTTTCCTTCTCTTTGTAACTTTGAAAAACATGTTGATATCTGTTGCCAAGTGCTGTACCCTCTCCCACTGTTTACAGAGGTCATTTCCCCCCTCAAACCTGTTTTCCCCCTAAGTCCACAGTCAGTCTTCTCCTTTTCCCAAAAGCAAATACGGAGTTACTCTGATGTAACTGGAGACTGGACTTGGCAGCTACCCTGCGTTACAAATCCCTTGAACTTTCTGACTATCTAGTAAAAACTGCAGATGGCTGCACGCAGACAAGTATATTGCTTAATTCTGCGCATCAAGCTGATCATCCCTCACACTCAACTTCTTTCTTACTTGTTCTCCAGGTTGTTGGAATCTGCACAGTGCAAAGGTCATCTGCGGATTCATCCGCTGAACTGCCAATGAAGTCAAAGTTTAGGCAGTTGAGGACTAGTTTCAGGACCTGCATGACCAGGTTCTGTTGATCTTGATCTTGAAGGTTTAACGGTTTGGCTAACACCTGGAAAAAAGTTCAAAAGCAAATAAAACTTTATAAAACATGTCAATCAACAAACTTTCACTAATTAAAATAATTTTTCAATGCCAAATTAAAATGAACAAAAAAGAGTTTGCAAAATTGTTATTGTGTATATTAGAAAAAAACTGTAAAATCACTCTCAAAAATCTACAATAGACTATTTTCATACTTAATTTTATAAAATGAGAATAAAGAATGTTACTCTTAACTGTAAAATGTAGGTCACCATTAATAGTTTTAAGAGGTAATTTAGAACAAATACTTTATACAGCACAAATGTATAAATGTATGGGATTCATTCAAAGATTTCTCAGAACAAGCTGAAATATAATATTCTTCAAAAAAAAAGCGGGGGAACTTCATGCACAAATGACCCCTATTCCGCTAACAAAGGTTCTCAGAGCTGCTGGGGTGTGGGAGGACCCTCGCAAGTTTCTGGGGAACAATCCTGACCTCCCTCCTCCCTGCCACCCACAAAGGTCCATTCTGCCATGACCAGAATACGTTATGCCTCCTAGAGACACTTCCTGAAATATTTGTGGAGGAAATGATGTAAAGTTTGGGATTCTGCTTTACTGATCGCCCCCCCAGCACACACAAATGTCCATTCTGCCATGACCAGAAAAGGTAGATCTCCTGGAGATACTTCCTGAAATATTTGTGGAGGAAATGATGTGAAGTGTGGGATTCTGCTTCAAGAGTAACACAACCAGAAATAAACTTGTCAGGTTAGCGGCAGAGATGAAACAAGACTGCTCATGAGCTGTTACTACAGCGATCGATGGATCCAAGGGAGTTCGCTATACTATTCCATCTTCTTCCCTACATGTTAAAATCGTCCATACTGAAGGAAAATGTTTAAAATAACAGGCTCTTTCAGCCTGGCCTCATGTGGGGGTCATCATGTTACTACAGAACTGAACTAAGCAGAAAGCAGTGAACAGTGGAGCACACTTTGGGAAATGCTGCACTGCACCAATTCACAGGCGTGGGCAGCACGACGGAGTCCCCATATCACAAGACAACACAAAGAATTACAAACAGTCCTAACCCTAATGGCCAATCAGGCACAGAGTAGCAAATAGGGCAATAGTGTTGCCCTAAGAAATTATTCAAGTCAACTATCTTGGCTCAGCTATGAATAAATACTGATAACTGATTAATTAGAAAAACCTACTGTCATTTCACTGCTCATCTACACCCGGTTAAAACATGGGCGGGGCATTAAAGAAACTAAGTCCCATTTAGCTTTGGGAATAAACCATCTACAGCAGGAAGACACCGAGAGTATTATCCAAAGGCAAACTTCTCAATTCTCTTCGGATTTCACTTTAGTATATTCCTAGTGAGTGAAAGCCAGTTTTTGGAACTACAGATTTGTGTAGATCTGTTAAGATATCTTAGATGAGATCTCCCCACATTCTGCCTTTTGAACGGTTGCAGACAAGCCTAAGATATAAAATATTGTCTAAGTTATAAAATATCTTAGGGTTGTCTACAGCCCTTCAAAAGGCAGAATGCTGGGAGGGAGACACACTTGAAATTCTTTGAAACCTGAAGTTTCCTAGACACCGTCCCTAAGACGCTGCGTTACCAGGGAACTCACCTCCTTCAGCAGAGCGCACGCCAGCACAAGAATGTCTTTGAGGGAAGTGTCGCGGAACGAGGTAGCTGTTTTCCTGTGTTTCGCTGAAGGTCTCGAATAATCAACCTAAAAAGATCAAGGTGAATTCATTTAGCCAGCCTTACCAAATAGCAAAACAAAATTCACTACGTAGGAAAAACACGGAGATGGTGATAAAGGAATCATAAAGTACGGCACTGAAAGAACTCGCACAGATCTACCGGGATTCAGCGGAGGGCTTAGGGTTCCTCAAACGAGTGACGGGAGAGCCACGGCTAGCGCCCAAGCTTCTGGACTGTTTTAATTCAGCGCTCTTTCTACCAACCATGCTGATCCGAACCATGCTGATCGATCCCAAAATTAGAAGCCAGAACTCACTGAACGTTCAGAGGCAGTGTAAACACATACCATAAAATAACAGACAGATACTATCGACTCCTGAACTACGCACATTAAGCAAGTAACGGCTTCCCCATTTCTCAAAGTCCACCTTAAAATGATAAATATCTAAGACAATCTAATCCTCAAATTCTAACTTTCTATAAATCGGCAAACCGAATCGGTTATATAAAATGTCTTCTATATAAAAGTGGAATTGCTATATATACCAAATATGTCATTGGTTTTATATAGCCTTGGTACTCTAAAAAGAAACCAAGGCAGAAATAATAATTAATCAGCAATTTGATTTATTATATAAGCAACAGCATATTCCCTGTGAATATTTAATTAATGATAAATAATCTTAAGAATAAATTTACTAAGAACCTCTAAAATATATATGGTCAAAACTGTATTATTAATACCATTAATGCTTCCACTTATTAGTAGGAAACAGCAAACAACACTGGAGTCTGAAACCCAAACAATGATTGACACCACGGACCAAGTGATTACAGAAAGTAGTTACTGGAACCTGTATCTGATGAGCAAGATCTGAATTAATATTCCCAGCATTCCTCCCTTCTTTCAAATCAAACTTGTGAAGTCTGTGAATCCTATAGCACTTCCCTTAATACATAAAAAAAATTCTCCTTCAGACAACTTAATGGTAGTCTATAGTCTTACAGTAGCAATTTCTGAAACGTTCTTCACGCATTATGTCAGCGAACCCCCCACACTAACCCGTCAGGTATCGGTTCTCCCCTCTTGCCTACGGGAACACTGGAGCGCAGGACACACCGCCTCGGCCCGGCCTCTGTTACCAGCGCAGCTGCGACGCACGGAAGGGCCTCGGGGTCCCTGACTCGCACCCACTGGGCTGCAGGCAGGCCGGCAGCTGCCCCCGGAGGGGCTCACGGCAGATGCCACGCTCACTTTAAAGACAGCGGTGTGTGCGTGCAGGGCCACGGGGAAGTGCACACTGGGCAGTAAGCACAGAGCAGAAGAAACACAAGTCCAGGCCTTACGCTTCAGAATCATCGTGGAGGCCTCCATGCTTACTGGTACACGGAGACACCCGGTTTTCTGAGGAGAGAAACCGGGGCCCCTCTTCCACTGCCCACCACATGCCTCTACCAGGTAGGCAAAGTGTATTTAACTTCTTGAGGATTATATATTGAATACACTCCAGGAATAGCAGACTTTGCTTCTGAAACAGCTGGATGACATCTATTACTCTGAACTTTTAAGAAACTTAGATCTTTTCCTTAAAAGACACATCCTGATATTGACACCACGTGAATTTACCTGGCTCACCCTTGACAACTACAGTATCTGATTTTCACGATGCACTGCAGCTCTCCGGCTGTCTGGCCCAGAAGTACTTAAGAAACTCTAGCTGAAATGATCGATGCCCTAAGATCAGGCCGAGGGGCCATCTGTCCAGAAGCCTTATTATTTTTTCACCGCACAAAGCCAAGATCAGCCTTGAGACCTTGAAGCTTTTTTCAAAAGGCATTTGGTTCTATACAAGATAAGCCTGGAACATCTTGTACGAGCAAGTAAGAAAATATTCAAAGAACGGTAAGTAAATGTCAAACGGACACAGAAGCTAGCTTGAAAGGGTTCCTGCTGGCCAACTCCGGGAAAATATGAACATCAAAATACGCCAGTAACGAATTATAACCTATTAAATGAAGTAGGAAACCAGGAGTCCCTGCTGATGGAAATACACGAATAAATGGAAACTTTGATAAGGAATGAGGTATTTTCAGAGTTTTAAAGTACCTCCCAATAGAATACTTATCATGTACAAAGGGGAGAGAGTAAATGCACAGTTGGAGAAGCCCAGCAGAGACCACCTTGATCAAGTGCCCCCGGTGGGCATCGTCAGTAATGTGGCAAATCACCCACGTGCTCCTGATCGGACACAAGACCACAGCCATCACTTCTGGGATATTCCCAACAAACACACAACCCTGAATCCGCGAGTGGAGAAACATCAGACAACCCCACAGGGAGGGCCCCTGTACAGAACAACCAGCCTTCACAAGTATCAAGGTCACGTGAATCAAGTGAAGGGAAGATCGAGGAACTTTTCTACATGGACGGAGACTAATAAAACGTCCAATAAATGAGACGCATGATTCTAAACTAGTTCCTCCCTGGGACAAACGACGAAACCTAAATGCAGTGTGAGAATAACAATAATATGTCATTTAATTTTCTAATTTTCACATGTAGGAGAATGTCCTTGTGTGTAAGAAATAGATTAAAAGTATTCTGGGCCCATGTCGGCAACTTAGTAGCAAATGGTGTAGAGGAAACTTCTTTGTATTAGATTCCCAAGTTTTCTGTAAGTTTATTAAAGTTAGTTTAAAAAATAAAACAGCTTTGTTGCTCTCTGGGTCATACTTCTATCAGAACTCCAAACTACCCAGTATTGTCTTAGTAACAATCTACACACAGAAACCCCTCACTACCAGGGCAGTCTGTATTCCTACCCTGTTCTGAAGAAGGAAATGAAAAAAAAATTCTCGTTTTTAAGATTAGCAAAAAGCTTATGGTGGTGTATGCTGAATAATGACACATGGGGTTTTTGTACTATTCTCTTCACTTTTATGGGATAAAATATTCATACTAAAATTATATATACATATATTTTTTTAAAGAAAGCTACAGCTCTTCAGACTATTTACAGAGTTTAACAGGTTTAGCCAAACTCCTCATCATAATGTCCCATAATTATCGTAATGCCGACACAATCACTCTGTTTGAGGAAATATTACTACTAGTCCTAGAGATACACACATAGATGTTGGCATAAGGCAAGAAATCTTTACATATACCAGGGAAGAAACTGGCTGTGGTGTATTAAGAGATCACTTTAATTTTAGAAATCCTTCACATCCAGAAGTGTTTTCTAATTCTTGACTGAACACAAGTAGAAAATAGTTATTTCGGAGGATTTTTTTTTTACACACTGAAACTATATTGTCTCTCCAAAGGGAGTTTGGCAAGCGGGCCTGGCGAGCTCCCTCCATGTACGCACGTGCGTGTACGTAAATACGCGCGCGTGTGTGTGTGTATATATATATATGTGGATACATCCACACACACAAACACAGACCACTCAAGATGACGATCAATTTGTACACAAGAACCTACGTTTCCCCTTACTGTAGCATTCCCCTTAGAACCCCACTTCTGCCTCTGCTCTGCTGAGAGCCACACAACGGACGGACGAGAGTGAACAGGGGCAGGTGACGGCGCTCAGCTGCGGAGCTCACAAAGGCACCGGCGGGGGGAAGCGCGGCTTCTGAAAACCCCCCTTGTGCAGGGTTAAAACCCCTGCTAGCAAGTGGCCAAGTGCCAATGCCTGTTCTGTGATAAGTCCTGCTGTGTGCCATTTATTGAGTATCAATTTACCACGCCGCTTCTCTTCTATTCGTAAGCAAATAAAGGGTTGTTTCTCTACTGCACATAATTTCTTTTTTATGGTTAGGATATTACTATATATGCAGAACATAAAAGGATAATTCTCCAACTGCCATGGAGCAAGGACCGTGTCTAATTCCCTATTCTTTGCAGTACTTTCTACTTTTGGTATCATTTTCAATGACAATGGAAGTATTCCGACACTTATTATCCCACCAAAGATTAAGGAAAACAACACCTGACTACTCAAGAGTTGTGTGCCACACAGTGAAGATTTTATATCAAAGAAACAGCATTACTTAGCAAACGTCTTCTCACCATTAGACGGAAAGGCTTACCAGGTTCATTTCTTGAGTCAGTTCTGAAAGGATTATCACTCCTATGACGCAGTGTTCCACGGTGCCCTTCGGAGAAAATAACCAAGTTCAGACTAACTGGAGATGCGACTGGTTCTTAGTGTGTAAACCGGGTAATATTGACAAGTAATTAAATACTGAAACATAGCATTCTCTTAGCCATATATCTATTAAAATATGTAGAAAAAGCACAATGAGGTCCACAAATATGAAGAATTTCAAGTTCGTTTTTTGAGGAATAAATTAGTACACAGAGATGAGTGGGATAGCAGTTCACGAATCTCAGAACTACGTGACCCTCTACAACATGTTTTCAGCACCCAGAACTTACCATAAACTAAACCTGAAAACGTAGGAGTCGGGTTTCATACTTTTCACAAGGCCCTCGATAAGAACGAACAAAAACCACTTTTTAGCTCTATAAATCTGCGTGGAGGCCACTGAGGCGCACGCATTCAATGAACAATTAGCGTGTGCGTGCACGTACTGCGTGTCTGCAAGGAGGGCGTCCCCGGTGCCCCCAGCCCCGGGGTAAACACGTACCCTCAGGACGGTGTCCAGTTTCACAGCCTCTGCAACGCTGTAACGTAATCGCTTTCCAGTCGAATCTCAAAAACTTCTTCAGGTCAAAATTCAGGTTTTATGTGCACATGACTAACAAGTTACCCCACTGCCAACGCAGACGGCAAGTCTGAATAAACGTAGCACCTGATTATAGCGGAATCGTAAAAATACACTACCAGATGACACACTTTTCAAGTTTTAATTTTACAGTTGGCCATTCCCCATCACCAAATTCCACTAACGGTGGGTCACTAAGTGTAACTAGGTTCAAACCATCTCATAATAAAACTATAAACAAAAGAAGTGCGCCATAATTTTTGCATTTTAATTCTTTAAGACGACCTGAACTTCCTGAATCGAGCTACGGACTTCCTGTGCCTGAGGCCTCCGTCCTCTGGGGGCCCCAGGCGCAAAGTCCTCCCGGGGGCGCCCTGCCCGGCTGGCCGGCCCCTGAATCTGCCGGTGGTCTGCAAACCCAATTCCGATCTGAGAACGGTCGGGGAGTGGTCCACGAGAGGATGAAAAATTTTGTGTAGAAGATAAAAGAGCTAAGTCACTACGTACACTGGTTGTTCAGCTGGGACTTTCTCAGAGCAAGTCTTTCTGGGGGAAATCGGGACCACGTTGACTCGCATCGTGACACAAACCCCTTATTTGCTGTGGGCAGCGATGCGAGTAGCCCGGCCCCAGACACCAGGAGGGTCCTCCGGGCGTGTGTGTGTGTGTGTGTGTGTGTGTGTGTGTGGAAGGGAGGCACGGAGTGTGTGAGTGTGGCAGCCACAGACTGCAAAGACGGAGAAAGGAAGATGTACACAACTTCAGGCCATTAAAGATTTAACACACCTAAAGTAATTTCTAGCGCAGAACTCACGGAGGCTGCTGATCCCACAGGGATCTTTCGGTACCACTATTTTCGAGTGCTGACACATTCAAGTGAACCGTCTCCCTCACGGATCAAGGACAGGTTAAGTCACATACCAAGAAAGCAAGTGCTTGTTTGGATACTAGAATAAACTTTGGAAATCAAACATTTTCTGTTTCTTCTGATCTTCCACAACTGACAAAAGCACACTAAAACCCAATTTACCAGCCATTAAAAATGGAGCTTGAAAAACATTAGTCAACAGGAATGATTTCATTCCATTGAGTTTCAACCTTAATTAAAAAAAAAAAAAGAAAAAAGAACTCTGAAGCCTATACTTGTCTACGCTCATGATTCCTGATGAGCTGCACGCAGTCGTGGTGACGGACCAGAGAGGGCGCTACTGTGCCAGCCGAAACTGCAAGCACAACTCCGCAGTGAGAAACTCACCAGTCTCTGCACAAACCACCTCTGTCTGCCCCCAGGGCAAACCTACTCAGGGCGGAAAACACTTATTCACGTGGTTTTAGATGATCAAATATAGTAAGTCCTCCACAGGTGCTGCCACTTTAAGTGAAACGACTTACAGAGAAACCAATTCTACCATAACACTCATTGATATGAACAGAGCTAAGCTGCTGGGCATCTCCTCAACACTGAAGTGACACTACCCAATGCAGACCCGAGGGCCTGCGTACTCGTGGGCCATGGTTCGAACACCATGATGAAAGGGCAGCAGCCCGTCCAGCATGTCATTTCTGAGGTGCCCGGCATCGCACTGCATGATGGAGTTACATCTCACACAGGGATTAAATTTTACAGTTGCTGTGTAAGAAGTAACATCTCAGAAAGTCCAGACTGCTCCTGATTGCTAATAAACCCATATTGACCCATCTCTCAATTGTCCCAAACTGCCAATTTTTTGAGAATTGTTAACAGATCACTGCTTCTCCAGCACAGCACTAGCTAAAGTACTTTTCTCGCAAGTAGGGTTAAAGTTTGGCTAGAAAACACGTTATCTTTAAAGCTCCGAGTCATGCTGAGCAGAGCAGGGGGGTCATCACAAGAGGCACACGGGGGCAGGAAATCACAGACCGGGTTTCCCAACACTTGCACTTAGGCTGAAAACATTCTTGAGAAGCTAATCTAGTCAATGTGGTACAGTGTAAAATTAAATATATTGGTCTGTAGATATATATGTACGTGTATTAAGTTAGAAAACTTGTTGAAATGCTAGCTCTATGCATTACCGAGTCACTGTGCAACCTTATGCAAATCACTTCACTTTTCCACGCCTGTTTTCTCATTTACAAAATAACGTCTACTTCAAAGAGATGTAATGAGCAATACAGGAAAACATTATGTACATGTTTTGTATACATGAAATACAGATACACACATGCTAGAAATGACAGAACATATACTTCTGCAACTAGAAAACATTACAATTCATCCTTCTGCTCTGCATGTTATATAATGGCAAGGTCCTTATTTGTTGGCAATTAAAAAATAAAGGACTCAGAGGACAAGTAATAAATCATAATCATATAGAACTGGTGGCCACAAAACAAACCACACAACTTTAACACAAGTAGTTTTTTGAACCTAAGAATGACATTCAAATACTGTTACAATGCCTTTTTACCTGAAGAAACTTCTTCACGTCAGCAATGATCTCTCTGAAGACAAACTGGTCTTTCTGAACCTCAAACCAGCCCAGTTTGGTGATTTTAGCGATGACCTGGGTCAGGGCTTGGATGACAAAGGCAGGCAGCTTGGGCCGTGATGCCACGTAATTAAGAATGTAGTTTCCTGAAAGAAAACATTCAGTGGTCACTTGGACTTTCCAGAAACAAAATACGAATCATGTGAAGAAAATCAGGTGGTAAATACACATTCTTGGACACAAAGTTATTCCCTTTCTTTGAGACATATACTTACTTAGTCAATTCTACCATAAGACTTATTTTGAAAAAGCAAATTTGTTCCAATTCAATTGATATGTGAGAGAATAAGCGGAGTATAATGAAAACGTCACTTTTGTTTTTGCATGGTTTCTGATAGGAAAAATGCCGAGTGAATACAGAACCCCCTCCCCCATGCCGAGGCCGAGCGAACTGAGCCTACACACCCCTCATCAAAGAAAACACGCCGACGGCAAACAAGCACGAGAAAGATGCTCCACATCCCACGTCTCCGGGGAACTGCGAATCAGAACAACTGCGAGACACTCACTGCCATGGGCCCTACTAACATGGCCAAAGGGCAGAACACAGAAAACAGCAAATGTTGGCGAGGATGCGGAACAATAGGAACTCTCCCTCACCGCTGGTGAGAACACAGAACGCTACAGCCACGCGGAAGACGCAATCTGGTGATTCCTTCCAAACCTAAACATATTGTTACCATACCACCCAGCAATCACGCTCCTGGGGGTTTGCCCAAGGAGAAGGCTTATGCGCACAGGAAAACCTGCTTCACTGCCATTTCGTTCATAACTGCCAAAGCTCAGAGGCGATCGAGCTGTTCTTCCGGCGGTGAGTGCAGAAGCTGCTGTACCGGACTGCGGCACATCACTCAGTGCTTAGAAAAGGAAAAAAGAGCTACCGGGCCACGAAGGCGTGAAGGAACCTGCAGCGCATACTGCTAAGTAAAAGCAGCCCATCTGAAAGGGCTATCCACCGTGTAATTCCAACTGCTTGACGTTCCGGAAGAACTGTAGAAACAGTATAAAGATCAGTGGTTGCCGGGGGTGTTAGGGGCTGGAGGGAGGAAGAGATGAATGAGCAGAACACAGGATTTTCAGGGCCGTGAAACGATGCTATGTAATATGATAACGAGGATGTATGTCCTCGCACGTTTACCCAAACCCACAGAGAGCACTGAACCCTCATGTAAACTACGGACTCTGGGGGACAATGTTGTGTCGGGGGAGGCTCATGAACTGCGACCCACACACCACTCCGCTGCGGGATGCTGACAGCGGGGGAGGCGACACCCACGCGGGGGCAAGGGGAACACTGGAACTCTGTATTTCTTGCTCAGTTTTGCCATGAACCTACAACTGCTCTAAAAAATAAAGTCTACTTAAAATGTGTGTGTGTGTGTGTATAGAAGTCAAACAAAAACAATGTTTAATGACTTAGGTTTATAACGTTTAAACCTTCATTTTTAAAACCGTGATTTCTCTTTTGCATCCCTAAGCACACGAGTCCTCGAGGGCATGGGTACGTCCTCCTCGGGGTTTGCCGCGGCGTCTGTGGCTCCCAGCACTTAGAGAAATACCAGTCAAATTTGTGAGGCAAATGCCACGTTGTCGTGTGCTCCATTCAAAAATGGATCTTAAAGACCCACCACCCTTATTTTAATGTTTCTGATACACAAATATGAATCATGAGAACCCTGAGACCAGAAAGCAGAAATGAATCAACAATCTATTTCTAATACGAAAAAAAGATTTTTAAAAATCCCATACCTCAATTCTTAGAGCTTCGTCCATATAAAAAGTAAATTCACACACAGACACACAAACACACTCCTTAAAATACATGACATGAAAAATATGTTGCTACTTTAGTAGAATCAGTTTCCAACTACAAGTACTACTCATCCGCATACACGATATCTTCCTAATAAGGAGAAGTCTGCTTCTTTAAATTTTAATTATTTTTATTTTTTATTTTATTGTATTTTCCCTATTACCACTTATTCCCCCCATACCCTCTTCCACTTCTACCCAACCCCTTTCAGAAATCTGCTTTTGATTTTATACATGCGTCCCAAATAATCTCCAAACAGCCTCCTGAGAAATACTGGAAAACTGACTTTTCCCCATCACTCAGTAGTGTATGAGGTTAAGACAAGACTACGAACACGAGGCCCACACATTTTGTGTGGGTTTGATCACTGTTCTATTGCTCCTGAGCTGTGAGATCTCAGACACACTGCAGAGCCTGTCGAATCTGATTTCCTCGTGTGTAAGGTGAGGGTAACAATAGTGCCAACCTTCGAAATTCAGCGGCTAAAATAAAATAGTGCAAGACTTCATAAATAGTGCACAAAATATACAATGCTAGTTGCTATTTATGATCCATTTAAACACATGTGTTTTCAATCACACATGGTTGTATGATCATCGTCACCCATGACCAGATGGGCAAAGGAGACTGGGCCGCTACTCTTTGTAAAATGACAGAGTCAAATACCTGGCACACCTATAGCAGTTCGGCATATTTAGAAGGAAAACGAATACAACTTGATGAAAGGCATTTCAAACCACTTACTGATATCTATCCTCTGTTCCACGGGCAGAGGGCTGACGCGGCTGACAAGTTTGGAGAGACACGTTGCCGCGAGGAGCTGAGCATAGGACGTCTGCAAGAACAGGGACATTTATTACCGTCATCACAGGTGAAATTACAGAAATTAAAACTCTACAGTAAGAACTTTTCCTAAGCAATATTGCGAATTTTTCCCATGAAGCAAACAGAAAAAGCATGACATTTGAAACAAAGTATCTCATCGCAGCAGAACGTCTTCTCAAAAACAGAAAATAAGGCCGCAGCCAAAGATAAGTTTTCAAGTGGCTCATCCATGAGCGAAGCAAGGAAATCCCCTTACCAACGGAGTGAACTAAATCACCATTACTTGACGGCAGTAGCCAAAGAGATACAAGCAGAGAAGACAGACTTCAGGCCACTAGCCTTCCGGTGAGCACACCGCTCGGGGGAAGACATCTGAGCAGCATCGGGAGCAGGTTTCGAGCAAGGCCAGTGACCCGAGGTTCTCCTCGGTGCTCGCCGAGGTCACGGAGGCTGCTGACACTGCCCACACTGCCACCGATACTCACCGTTTACTCCAGAAATCAGTGCTGAGTGTGGAGTGACTAAGGAATTAACCCCTAAAGAGTCTGCAAGACTACAGGCCAGAATGTTCTTCAAGAAGCTGAGAGCACACTAATTCTGTGCCACCTGGAGTCGTGTCTGCAAAGATGCGTCACTGGTGGTGGTAAAAACACGTGGAGCGGGAAAGGGCTCTCAAGCCCGCGGTCAGTCGCTGCACTAACCATCAGTGGACACTCTGCACTAAATGCCCCAGTCTGTCGGCGTGATGGGGCAGAGGTGTTAACTGTGGACTTCTGTTCACTTTTGTGCCTACCAGACACAGAAGCTGAATATCTTGGCTTTCCCTACCACCCAGTTAGTTCAGTAGCTTAGCAGTGGTCGAGTCTCGTCACAGCTTTTATTTTTAACTCAGGGCTGAGACTGAAATTTTTCCGAATGAGAAGAACCATTCTAAGCCACTACTGCGGACACTAAATGGCTTTAAGAAATTAGCTTTTGCTGCAAACTTGATGTCTCTTAATGACTTCAACCTCAAGTTGTAAATGGCCTAAAAGGCAACCGGTGCTCAGTACTTACTTACAAAGCTTACACTGCAATAAAAGTCACTTCAGGGACGACGGACACTGTCTGAATCACAAGTATTACCAAGCTGCTTTACATGCTTCCGCGCTGTCGGGAGTTGAAACAAGTAGCTAGATCTCTATTCCCGATATATTTTCTGAGCGCAAAAGACAGCTCCAGCAGCGGTTTTCAGACCTTGGGCTGCCGGTGCAAAAGCCGTTCCCGTGTCTTAAAACCCATTTAACCGAGCAATTGAGGAGCCTCCACCTGACCTTCCACGGGAAGTGACTAATCAGCAAAGTATTCACATTCTAAAAGGCAAATCTCAAGAGAAGTTTTAGCAGAATTCTATAAACGCCTCCTTAGTGATGAATATGCTTAATCAAAATCACACGCTCGCGGACTGATGATGTTTGTGAGACCCTACCTGTGTGAAAAGGCACTTTCAAAAATGAAATACGTAAAGCCTCATTCCAGATCGCTATTAACATAGGAACATTTGCAATCAACGCTGAGGACAGGAAATACGAACTCTGAACACCAAGTAAGCAAAATGTCACCCCCAAAAGGATAACTCCATTCTTTTCATTAGCAGGCCTATAGGAAGAAAGCTGTACTCAACGGTCACATTTTAAGTTTCATCAATAAAACTTTGGGGACATGTGTTTTCTCTCTTCTTATAGACATGTTTACAGAAGACCCTTGATGTTGTCTCTTGGCCCGCAGAGTCTGAACTGTCTACAGGCTGGCACTTCACAGAAAAGGTCTGCTGGCCTCTGCTCTGGACCACACGGTCGCTCATGGCACGGTCGCTCACGGCACTGCTCACCGTGTCATGTCAGAGGTCTCCCTCCACAGCTACGCCTCCTCAACTGAACTGTGAGTAGCTTCAGTGCACAAACATACAGCAAGTAGGCAGTGCAGCACCCGTTTTACGTTTAAGCATCTGCTAATTGCTGAATAAAAGGCTATGGAACTCTAGAAGGGAAGGAGGCAGGAAGTCTTCAGCATCCCCCCCACCCATCATTCCTTCTGTTTCAGAGTCAGTTACAACTCGGAGGTGGCCTCCCCCACCTTAGATTTTTTTGTTAAAGCTGTCAGTCAACTTTATAAAAACGTAACTTTCGCCCACTGGTATGATGCATAAAGAGGGGCCAAGCGGAATCAACAAACTACTTCAATTCATGTCTATGTCCGCCTCCTGCACCCTTCTCCAAGCGTGCCTTCATTCAGGCTTCCCAATCCCTTCTCTGATTCGGCTTTCTGACAGTGAAATAAACCGTAGCAAAAAGACATGTGGTAATACCTATCAGGCATCACTGCTACCTACACGAGGTCATTAAGAATGAATGACATATATCCACTGATCTTTCATGATTAATCACTTATCAAATACTTACTGTTCCTTGTTCTAATAACAGCTGACACTTGCTGAGACATTCTGGGCTGTCAATAAGTTCCAGGAGTGCCTTCTCAGCCTCTATTCTCTGTGCGAGGTCAGTCCCTATGTAGAGATGGGTGCATAATACTTCCAATTCTGCCAAACTCTTGAAAAGAAAAAAAGTGAGTATTTTACTTGAGTGGAATAAATTAGATAAATATATTGATCACAGGAAACAGGAAACGGATACAGATATTGAGCCTGTGTTCATCAACTCAATACATGTTTATGGAGCTACCTCTGCTCCTACTTTACAGGCACAAAGAATAATTCATTCTGTTTACAAATATAATCTCAACTGAAGATACAGGATGCGCAGATACAACCTGAAACAAATTTAAAAATGAGTTCAGCATTCCTCTCAGTTTTAAAGACCTTTTGTTAATGGTGTCCTACGAAAATAAACTATTCCCCTGGAACTTGAATCAGAAGAGAATTATTCTTTGAAAGATGGACAACGATTGGCACAGATTTCAATGTCAGGTGGGCATATGAAGAAACGCTATTCTGTGCCCCTTCCGGCCTGAACTTCTGCGTCAGCCTTGCAGCTGCACTGGTCCGAACGCTCCCTCAAGTGCACGGGGGGCCTTTGCCTAGCAGGAATGCGCCGAGATGAGACCCCTCTGCCTCCCCCACCCTTCTCACTTCTCCTCCTTCTTAGCTCCCTCACGGCACTCTCCACTTCCCCATCCGGGTTGGGGCCCAGCATCCCGGGCTTGGGAATTTTTGGCCGGGGTGAAAATAAAAATACAAATGAAAGTCTTCAAGTGGATAAATTAAAATAAAGGAAAAAATAAAATAAAAATAAAATAAAATAAAGGATCTCAAGTGAACCACATTTTAAAGACACCCCCCACCCCAGATGGTCCAGCGAGTCCTCAGAGTGCTATAACACACTGTTCATAGTATCAAAATCCACCGAGAATGCATGACTCACCGATATACATGAATCCCCCTATTTTCTCCAAGGGTAAGAAATACAAAAATGAAAGGAGCTACCCCTTTCCATCTCAGACTTCATGATCAAGCTCAGAAGTCTTCTTTACCTGATGAACTTGAAGGGCTGGATTTCAGACCTGATAATACCCAGAATAATTCAATAATAAACGGACCTTGCCACATTCACATAGGTCTAAGAGTCTTTGAAGAAGGCAACTTTGAGTACAAGAAGAACTGGGCCAGAAAGTGACAAGACCTAGCTGTTCAAATACAAAAGGCATCAAGAAGAAGAGGCTAGTGGCCGTGTCTATCCACCTCACAGGTTTGTTGGGAGATTAAATGAGGGAAGGATGCATAACTTCTGCAGACAGTGCACACTGTAAAGGCCAATTGTTTGTTATGAGTATTACAATGAATGGAATTACATCCCCCTAAAAGACGTGTCCAAGCCCCAACCCCCAGTACCTCATTCGGAAATGGGGTCTTCGCAAATCCATGAAAAAGGATCTTGGGATATGAAGTCATACCGGATTCAGGGAGGGCCCTAAATCTAATGATTCGTAAGAGAAAGGAGAGGGACATTTTAGAGGCAGAGACACAGGGAAGAAGGTCACGTGGAGGAGGAGGAGGCAGAGACTGGAGAGGTCCAGCTACGTGGCCGGGGACACCAAAGACGGCCGGGGCTGGCGGCCGGCGGAGACGGGGAGGAAGGCAGGGGACAGCTCTTCCCGCAAGGCCTCCGGAAGGGACCCACCCCACCGGCACATGCTCCGGCTTCTGGCCTCCAGAGCAGCGAGAGAATGAATGCTGTTGTTTTAACCCACCCAGCGCGTGGCAATTGGCTACAACAGCCCTGGGAAGCGAGTGCAAATAGCGTTAATCAATCAATGGTTCCTAAGCAAATCTATTTGGAGAGATTCTGGAAAAGTTCTGGAAATTATTTTGCCTGTTTTCTCATACTGATTCAGAGATCCTCAACACAGAACAAGTCTGGGGTGTATTTATGTTTGAGTCTGAACTGTCACCAGTGACCTATTTTCCCCCCACAGGTATTTTTAAACTATTAACTGAAAGGCAGCGCAAGATAGAAAGGTTTGAACTTTCTCTTCCAAAAGACTGAAACAAGGGAGAAAAAAGTCAAGCTACTCTTTCACTGTAATTATTGCAATTAAACACATGCCTGGCATACCAAGCCTTTTCGGAGGAGAGCATGCGTACACACGGATCCTCGGTCTGGTGGGAGGGCACTACGCAAACCTTTGCAGCAGTTAACCCCACAGTGAGGTGAGACTGCTGACCGACGAGCAATCTTCTGATCAGCATTTGACTTTCCAAAGAACCTCTCTACAGAGACTTCATTTTTCACAGCGAACTGATACATTTGCACCTTAGCTTCACACACGGATGTCAGAGAATATGATTAACGTGAGAAGGCCTCAAAGAAACGACTCTCTTCTCGATCTGTTGACAAATCTGGTTTGAGTTATTAAAGCTTCCACAAGGCTTAGTATCAGCATTATAAGTCCATTTAAATAACTAATGGGTAGAACAAGTAGAATTGGACATCGCCTAACTCTTACAGAGCAACTATCAAATACAAACAGACAGCACCCAATTTCCACAGCCCAGGAGACAAGGACACAATCCTGCGTACAGTGTAAATAAAGATCTTCCAAGTCACTCTGGGCTTGTTTCTGGCCTTCGCACTTGATGCACAGTGAACCCTACAGGACGTGACTTCCTTCTACACAGTCATTCATTCCCACACACGTATCTATCCACTGGTAAGTGCTGAGTAAAAGCAGCCAGACAGCCCTGGCCAGGGTGGCTCAGTTGGCTGGAGCGTCATCCCACAAACCTAAGACTCGCAGGCTGATCTCAGTTAGGGCACATGCCTAGGCTGTGGGTTCCGTCCCCAGTCGGGGACACATGTGAGAGGCAACTGGTAGATTCTTCTCTCTCACATAGTTGTTCCTCTCCCTCTCTCGGCCCGTTCCTTCCCCTATCTCTAAAACCAATAAGCATGTCCTCAGGTAAAATTAAAAAAAGAAAAAGAAGACGCCAAACAAAAAGAATGTGTATCATATGGTTCTGTAGTGCCAGAGAGGACCTCTGCGGCTTCTGGCGGGGGAGGGGGGAGAGGAGGCATCACGTCTGGGGAATGACTGGTACGCACATTATCTTGACGTCACCCGTGGTTTCGCAGGTCTCTACAAATGTCAAAGTTCATCCGTCTGCAGAGTTTAAATATGTGCAGTTTATTGTGAATTATACTTCAACAAACTAAAAAAACTGAAGGCTTTTGTTCTAGGGGGGAAATGTCCCCTAATAATAAAATAAATAAATAAACAAACCACGAAAATCCCACCTCTATTCAATTTAAAACTATTTTCAATTATTTCCTTATATCTTTCCTGCCTTTTGGAATTAAGCTTCTTGATTACCACTAATAAAAAAACGCCTTTATTCACTTTTGCATTTCCCACAAACTCCCTGTTTCTTCCTCCCTTTACTACGCCTTCCCTGGCTTATTCCCGGGCCTCTTGTACCTGTTCTGCAAGGACCTGGATAAGTATTGTTTTAGGGCTTCATAGTTTACAGAAGTATTTCCATCTTTTACTTTTTAAACCAATCCTGAAAAGCAGACTCCTGCAAGCACACCTGCTTTACAGACGCGCTGACGGCGAGAGATCAAATATACAAGTAAGTTGCTCCGGATCAAACATGAGTAAGTGGTCAAGTCCGAGCCAAACAGAAGGCCCCAGGTGCACGCCGTCTCCTCGCCGCCACCTTGCCACCCTCCACTTCAGTCACCACCAATCTGCAGATGACCGTCCTAGTCTGTGCTTTCAACTCTGTCACCATCTTTATATTTGCCTACAAATGTCTTCCTCTTGGGAAGCCAGAAAGATGCTGAAAACAACCCAAAAGTGTCAGAAACTGAATTGGATATATTTCCCACAGATGTCCCCTCTGTCCCTTTATTTTCTTTCGGTGTCTCCAGAGGTCTGGCCCAGAAGCTAGATTTGCAATCTTGATGTTACCTTTGGCTCTTCATCCCTCAGTAGCCCCTCCTCTGTAATTAAGAGTTGGGTCCTGCGCAAAGAAAAGTCCGGCCTTTGCCCCCAGATTCTGGGGGATAATCCAGGTCATACCCAATAGGAATGTTTTTGTTCAGAACCCAGTGTAGGGGGGTCCACCCCATAGACTTAAATTGGGGTCTGGCCACACCAGAAATGTCAACCACCCATTTTAGGGTGGGGACTTTGGATTACATGGTATCCATCTCCCTAAAAGACTGAGATCAATTACATGGGCAATCAATCAATCATGACTACTTGATGAAGTCCCAATAAAACCTTCCAAACTCAAAGCTCGGGCTTCCCTGGTTTGCCGTACTCAGCGCACGCTGCCCACATATTTGCTCGGAGAGTAACATGTCCTGAGGGCAACGAAAACGTTCCTTTGGAATTCTTCGAGACTCCGCCCTCTGCCTCTCTTCTTTTAATGAGCTTTAATCTGTGTACTTTCCTGGTGATAAACTGCAGCCTCGAGAATGACGAGAATGACGGCATTCAGTGAATTCTCTGAGTCCTTCTGACAAACTAGCAAACTCGAGGGTGGTGCTGGGAAAGCCCCCCAACACACACACACACACACACACACACACACACACACAGAGTTAGTGTCAGAAGTGAGCTCTTGAAGTGCGGCTGATTTCAGGTATAAACCTAGTCTGTTACAAAGTCCTACCAATTCTTTTTAAATAAAGGCTTCACACCTCTACATGGTATTCACAGACAACAGAGCAATGAACCAACATGTTCTGACTGTGGCCTCCAGTGCCCTGGATTCTTAATTGGTTTCTTTGGGAATAAGAGTGGGAGCTTGGAGTCTGGCACTTACTAAGTAACTTCATGCAAAGTATTTAACCTTTCTAAACCTCATTTTGAAGACGATAAATATTAGTTTGAAATAATATCCGCCTTCCAAAATAACTGTCAAGACTAAGACAGAAAAGATGAGAGAAAGCTTACTCCAGTGTCCGGCACACAGCAGATCACACTACATGGTAAATACTGCCTTGGTCACTGACAACGACAGAGCACCACACGGTCCTCTGTCTACCGTTCCTCCAAGTTCAAGTCCACACTGCCAGGAAGGTCGGTCCTAGGCCCCATTTCATCATGCTACCACCGCGTCCAAATACAACAGTTCACAATCACGTCTAGATCAAATCAGATAGCCTGGCTGGGTATTAACAAGCAAGGCTATGGTCCCTGATTCAGGAACAATCCTAAGAAGAAAAAAAAAAACATCGACCAACTAGGTCGCCCATATTATCGGCAACGTTCTCTCTCGATTCTCATCAAGGGCGCTCTGTTCCGTGCGCTACCTACCCTCCATTGTCCTTGTTCCCGACTCTAACCTTCCTCACACCGCTCTTCATCCTCAATCTGAACCGTCTCCCCTCAGGTAACCCAGGTCCATTACTTCCTTTTGGACGGAGCGCCCTAACTCACGGCTCCCTACCCAGAACGCGTGTACCTTAAGTGGGTCCTGGGTGTGCCTGATATTGACTCCGCTGCCTGTGCAGCAGGCTTCTGGCCGTCGACAATTTATGCCAATGAACTACACAATTAGCGTGTTTTACGGATGCCCATGATGTGAAAAAGATCGTGGAGCACAGCCGTAACCCCACCTTACACAAACCCACTGCTTTACTCGTCACCCCAACAGCAGAATGTCCAACTGTCTGCTGTGTCGGGGTGACAGTAGCCTGCAGGCATGAAAGAACACGCAACTCTGAGTTCCTGGGTCTACTCTAACCCTGCAGCCTTGGGCAAGTCGCAGCTGTTCTGAGACTCCGTGTCTTCAGGAATAATGTGCACACTTCTCAAGTTAGTTGTGGGGCTCCCGATCTACACCGAGCATATGAAAATTCAAAATGCTAGGGACTGGTTATCATTATTAATAAATGTTTCTTGAGTTAACTGGACTACAATATGATCCTATAGGCTGAAAAGAATTCAAAGTGAGAAGTTTTGGAGTTTTTTCTGCCCCCGCCCCCAACTATCTGATCTTTTATTTGTCCAATTCTACTTTTAAGCTGCCCACAGCTGCTCCAAAATACATTGCTAGGAAACCAGTATGGGCAGTTTTGGGATTAGCAGCTAACTGTTCCAACACTCTACCTAAGTATGAAGCAGTCTTCCAGGACTGAGTGATAATACTATTATGCATCACCTTTCCAAGTCGGAAAATGTTCCAAACTCCCGCCATAGTTTTTAATTTACACTCACAATTTGAACTGGTAACCTCTGAATGCCTGTTTACAATCCCTAAGTCCTCCCTGTGAGATTCTTCCTGCGAAAATTTCCCAGGGCGGCATATTTATAAAGTACTAATAAATCACATTATTTTGACCTGGAGGCCCTTAAAGTAAGTGGCAATGAGTCCAAAGGCCGTGTGTGGGGCTCACCACCTCCTAATCCATCAACACCCTGGAGCTGCCAAGGAATGAATCAGTGTGACGACAGGGGGACCCAAGGAAGTCTACAAAGCGTACGTGACACTCGGATACACTGTCATCGTATCAAGATATTGCCTACCCCTCCCTAGTCGTCTCTCCTGCCATCCACAGCCTCCCCTGCTCCCATCCCTTTTGTGATGACTCCTCCGCTCCCGCCAGACCCAACTTCCTGCCGTGCGCCACGTTCTTCCACAATTCTTTGCCTTGGCCCCCATGGTCCTTTTGCCTCTCCGCCCTTCCCTTCCTCTTCACCCAGCCAACTCCTCCAGGTCTGTGGAGAACCCCTAGCTTGCAAGTTCCCGGACAGTAGACACCATCAAGTTTTGCTACAGCTGTATCTTCAATACTTAGCAAAGTAAGAACTCAATAAAAAACGTGGACAGATGGAAGTGGCCAGAAGCTCGAAGCCTCTCCGGTCTGAGACGCCTCGCAGCTCTGCCTCCCACACTCGGTGGGCTGCCCCCTTCTCCGTGTTCCCAGGGTATCCTCTGATGAACTCGATCACACCATTTTTCACATGTACTGTAATAATGCTGCATGCAACGAGGGCAGGGATGGGAAAATGTCGTCATCCTTCATCCCAGAACTTTGCACAGTGTTTAAGACACAGTGGGAAGCTCTATAAATGTTCGTTGAATAAATAAGTGGATGCACACACCCGAGGAGCCCGAGGAGCCCGAGGATGCGGGAGCCTTCCTCTTCGAACAGCCTCAGCATCCCCACGCTCCCGGCGCACGCCGGGCCGGGGTCTGTGCCTCCAACTCCCTACGGAAACAGCCCCTGCCCGCTCCGGCCAGTCCAAGTCCAGCTGCTGCCGCGGCACCTTCGGCGACTCAGGGCCCCTCTCGAGCTCCGTCCCAACTGTGTGTTGACTGACGACGGGGCTGCGGCCGCCGGCGCGGCGGGAAGGCTGTCCAGCCGGACTGGGTTCCCACCTGCCCGGGGCGCCCGCCGAAGCCGCCCTTCCCGCCGATCTCCGGCGTCCGCACACCGCCCCACGCAGGGGCGACCTCCCAGGCTGGCCTTTGCCCCCCCCCCACCCCCCACCCCGCCCCCCACCCCCGGCCCAGGCCGCCCTTCCTCCAGCCCGCGGTGTACAGCCCAGCCAGTCAGTGGCCGCGTCCCTGGGACGCCGGTCCGCGGCCCCGCGGCCTCCGCCGCCGCCTTCGGCCCTCAGTCCCCAGATCGCGGAGTCCCGCCGGGTTCCCGCGGCGGCGGAGCGCACTGACCTGGAAGTGCAGCGCCATCTTCCCGGGAGGCGGTGCCGGCCAGCGGCCCCGAGAGCCCGAGGGGAGGGAGAGGAGGCGGGTGCCGCGAGAGCCCCAGCCGCCCGCGGGGTCCCTGCGCCGCTCGTTCGCTCGCTCTTCGCGGGTGCCGGATGGCCTCGCGGTTCTAGGCGCTGGACAGGGCGGGGCCTGACGTGGGGGGCGGGGCGATGGAGGCGGTGGGAGGGGCGGGGACAAGAGGGCGGAGCCTGGGGATGGGAATCTCAACTGTCCTCTGCACTCTTTCCAACCGCTGTGAATCTCGCACCTCTGTCCTTTGGCACAACCACCACAGCCCAACTGTCAGCCCTGACCCCGGACTCACATCACCCATAGGTTCCTGATCCCTAACTCTTACAGCACAGCTACTGCCCTTGACGCCTGACCACCACATCTCCACAAGTTCTCATGTCCCCTAACGCCCTCTTGCATGAAAAACAGCCGTAATTTTTGATTCCTATATGCTAACTTCTGTCCTTGACCTCTGACCCCCAAAGCCCAACTTCATTTTTTTTTAACTTGATTTAGGTTACAATTACACTGACGTGGTGTTGAGTAGTAAAATTATATAGCTCACCTCTTTTCTATATTTCATTTAATATGAACTTATATTTTAAACCAAATTATTTCTTTGGAATGAGAATTTATTTGACCGAAAGTGGGTCAAACTCACTTCTTTCTGATGTACTTCATTACTCCTCGAAGTCTGACATCTCTGGCTGGGATCATTGTACTTCAGTGTGAAACATTCCTCTAAGACTTCCTATAGTTCAGGTCTGCTAGCGACAAATCCACTCACTTTTTATTAACATGCAAACCTCTTTATTTAACCTACATTTTTAAAGGACAGTTTTGCTGGGTATAGAATTCTATTTTGGCTTCTTAAATTTGTTGGCATTTAATGTCAACAAATGTCTTTCCCTTGATTTCTGATCACCATTGTTTCTGTTGAGAAGGTAGCCAGCAGTCTGATTTTTGCCCATCTGAAGGTATCATGTCTTCTTTTCCCACCCCTGGATGATTTACAATTTTTCTTTTGTTTTTGTAGTAATTGTATGAGTGTGTTTATGTGTCTGTGTTTGTATGTGTTATCCTGCTTGGGATCTTAAGACTTCTTGAAGATAAAATCTGATTTTTTTTTATCAGTGTTTGAAAATTCTCACCCATGATTTCTTTAAGTATTGCTTCTGTCCCCTTTTCTGTCTCTCTTCTTCTGGAACTCCAATTATATGTATGTTAGGCCTTTTTGAGTATTCCGTATGTCTTTTATACTCTTTGGTGGGGTTTTTTTTTTTTTGTCTTTTTTTCTTATTGTGCTTTAATTTGCATATTTTTTTACTGACCTATCACCCATTCACTAGAATCTCTTCTGCTATATCTGAGCTGCTACACAACCCCACTACTGAATTCTTATTTTTAGTTATATTTTTTAGTTCCAGAATTTTCATTTGACTTCTCCCTTTCCATTCTTTAAGTAGATAGATTCCAAGGCTCTGGTAAAATATTTTATCTTTCCTCTAAGTCCTAGAACATTTTAACTTTATTATTGAAAGGTCTTATTTGGTATCTTCAATATCTGAATCACATCTAGGTCCCCTTGGTTTTTTGTATTTGGTTCTATTTTTTTAAGCATGCTTCGTAATTTCTTATTGAATGTCAGACAGCGTGGAAGAAAAAATTGTTGAGGCTCTGGATGATACCAGATTTCTCCAAAGAGGGTTAAGTTTTCTTATTGTAATAGGCAGATAGAATACCAGTGAATCACATAATCCCAATGAGGCTTGGCTTTATGCTTTTAAAGTCATGGTCCGTACTAGATCCTACAACTAAAATCCCAGGATGCTTACCAAGGCCCCTCCACCCTGTGGGGCTTGAACTCGAACTCCCATTTCCCCAATACTGCGCAGCTGCTAAAATCTCTGTTCAACTCTTTAGATGATAGTGTTTTCCTAAGATTCTTAAAGTCTTTCCCTGTGCATGTGCATCTTAAGAATTGACTGATGATTTGAAGGCAATTTACGCACATATTTTTGGGCTCACATCTCTGTCGCTTCCTCCTCAGAATTTTGTCCCTCAATCCTAGCTGCTTTTATTATTCAACTCCCATCTGTTCTCCTACCCTACTGAGATTGCGGCTGGCTGTCCAGTTCTGTTGCCCCTTGAGTCGACTGGAAAATGCTCCAGGGAGTGGGAGGAAACTGAAGTGAACATGAATTTTGCCCTTAATGTCTTCAAAATGTTTTCTAAGATTGAAGTCAGTCAAATCCTGCCTTTATCTGTTGTTCTCTACTGCCTTCAAGCAGTTGTTAAATATATATATTTGTTGTGTGTATATGCATATAGTTTTTAATGTGTTAAATTATTGTTAAATATATTTATTTATAATTGTTAAATATTTGCCCTGTTTTTGTCATTGTTTTCAGTGGGAAGTCTAATCCAACATAAGCTATTCCATTATGGTGAGATTATGTCTACCTTTCATTCTTGATTTTCATAGCTCATCCACAGCCCAGGAATCCTCATGGCCACAGCTCAACTCCTAAATTTTGAAATATTCAATATCCTCATTCTGCCATTTTTAGTTCCAATATCCCAAAGTTTTTGATTCCTGTATTCTAACTTTTATTTTTGTGTGCCAGCAGTTCTGATATACAGCCTCATTGCCATTCCCACATCCCAACATTTCTGACTCCCACATCCCAAGAACCAGTATTGATTTCTAATCTCCCTATGGCATCTGCCATAGAACTTCTTTTTCAAAAGATTTTATTTTTAGAGAGAGAAGAAGAGAGGGAGAGAAACATCAATGTGTGAGGGAAAAACATCGATCAGTTGCCTCTTGCGTGTCCCCAGCTGGGGACCTGACCTATAACCTGCCATATAATTTCTGTTACCTCAAATTTTAGGTCATTAAGGGAGGAAAAATTACTTGAGATTTGATCATTTGACTTTTTTTTCCTGAATATCCTTGGAACAAATAAAAGGTTACAATAAAAACAGCAGCTGACTATTGTATGGATTTGCCAGGTAAGTCTGGAAACAAGAAGCCAATTATTTTTTCCCTTTAAATTTGAGTGACCATTTAAGATTTCTGTTTCCGTTTTCAATTAACTCTCTCTTTCATGATTTCTATCAATAAAACATTCAACTCCATGTCTTTTTTGTCAATAAGTACAATTTAAGATAGAATTGTGTCACTGCAGTTATTAAAATTAACACAGAAAATGCTCCAGGACGTCAAACAATTCATTTCTATCCCAAAACTCAATTAAAGTAGGGACATTTAGAGCCTGCAGGAATTACAAAATTATCTACCTTTTGCCAACAAGTCTTCTAAAAAAGACGGATGGACCCTTGGTCCTTGAATCTTTTCCGGGGATTCAATTAACATTTGTAATTCTGGCAACCTTAGAAAATTCACCTAACATATCCGGGTTTTGATTTGTTATTTCTAAAATCAGAATAACGGTAATTCCATGATTAAAAATTTGTGTAAGAAATACCATTGAGATGAGGCTGTAGAGTACAGAGGTTAGGAGACCAGACCCTGGAACCAAACGGCTAGGATTTGGGTACTAGCTGCATCACTTACTAGCCGGTAAGCTTGGAGAAGTTCCTTACCCTCTCCACGCCTGCATTTCCTCACCTGTCGAATGCAGACTAGTAGTATCTGTCTCATAGGTTGCCGTGATTCAATGAGTTAATACTTAAGGAAGTGTTACATGAATACTAATTGTTATTATCAAATAAACTCCTATGATTTTCTGAATATAATATTGAAAGTGAGACTTTTAATGAAGTGGAATTATAATTTTAATCAGAGTAAATTATTCTAGACATTTTTCATCTGTAAATTTGCAGTCCGGCTAGCTATTTCCTCAGTGTCCCTCCTACCTCACTCAGCTTCTCTATCTGGAGGAATTTTGAAGTCAGTGACATTAACAGCATTTCTAGTTACCATAAACTAAACTATTAAACTATTTTAATAAACTAAACTATTTTATCATAAACTAAATTTTTGCTTTATGAATACTTAAAATGTGAAACCTATGCCCAGTCATTTATTTAGTCACGCATGTAAAGAAAATACAGGAAATGTTAGTATACATTTTCCTTAACTTAGTCTAGAAATGTAATTTCATTAAATACACTCAGTGAGATTGTTTAATGCTTCAGTAAGGTTAGGGAATCCAGCAAAGTGCAGGCAAGTCAGAGAAATAGGGGGAGAATGTATCCAAAATGTTCAAATGTACATTATATGTGTCTCCCCCAAAAAACAACAGTTGCATAAAATATTTATCTGTGTACACTTCCCTCCTGTTGGTTGATGACAATTATATCTTTATATTGTCAAGTCATTAACCTTGAACTGTATTTATTTAAATATCCACTGGGAAACCAAAGTAACAAAACAATTTCTTGTCACTGGCGATGTGGATATGAGTTATCTCACAATGTTGTTTACTACATATGTACTAAAAACTGCACATACTTTTCTGTAAATGATTTTATACTCCTGACATGCTAGCTATAGTCAAAGTATATTGCTGTGTCTTCATAATGCCATTATGTTGACAAATAAAAATTAAGTGATATTTCTCATTCTGTACATTCTGTGTAATGCCTTATGTTATTTGCATATTAGTTCTTTCACATAATATATAGTGTAAGGCATTTTTATATGTAAGCAGCCTGGTGATATTATGAACATATGCATCCTTAAAATTACTGCAAAGCAGGATCATGACACAGTGTCGTCTTGGATGCAATACTATTACATAAATAAAACAGGGCAGTCTTCCCGAAAAATATTTTTGCAATTTGCATCTAGAACCTTGAAAATGTCTGTCATTTTCTCCCAACTTCTAGAAAGCGAGTCTAAGGAAATAACCTAAGTTTCGAAAAAAGTTTTATATGTGACAATATTGATTACAGCATGACTTATACAATAATAGGAAAAAGTTAAGTAAATGACAGTGTAGCATGTGGCAGAGTCCTATGTGGTCATCAACAATTATGGGAGAGCTTCGTAAAAACATGAAGAATACTATGCTTTAAGATCTCTATGTGAGGTAAAAGGCAAAA